GAATAATAATCTACATTGAAATAATGGGTAATTTAATTAATTTTTAATAAATTAAGTAAAATACATATCCAACAATAATTAGGACGTCATCAGGCTAAGAAACTCCTTGCTTTGGTTTTTAATAAACTGCATATGGTAAACCTTTTATCTGTTTTCTATACTTCGCTAACCTATAAGGTAAACATACTGTGAAAATTTATTGGGTTGGATAAAAACCATGAATCGAATATCAATCCTTGATAGTCATACTAAAGAGAACAACTAACAAATAGGAAAAGCCTTACTACTTACGTCCTCAAGGAAAGACATCTTATATGAGGGATTTTGTCAGAGAAATCTAGGACACGCACTCTGTCTTATTTGGGATTCATAAGCTAGATATATTTACATCTCACTCTTGCCGGTCATACCGACACGTATGCCCAACACCTTTCGCTTCAAACACCCAAAGGATTATTCACTAAGCTAATTATTTCAGATATCCACTAACTCATGTAACGAGATGAATTTAACTAACTATTTGTAAGTGCTTCGATCTTACCATTAACAATGTTACGGACTCTAATTAATCAATTTCTTTTAGTATAAGGGGAAACCTGAATGGATTACATCGATATAAGCACTTAGTCAGAACTAAACTAGCAGTGAAGTCCGGTGCTGAATGCCATGATATTCCGCTCAAGCTACACATACATCAATAGAAACTGATTAATTAAAATCCTTAGCATTAACAATGAGAAAACTTAAACATTAACAAATTTTGTTAGTATACTTTAAGTTATTTGACAAAAATTATTAAACGTAAAAGTGGCAGTTTAAACTAACTACGATGTCACTGAACAATTAAAAAGTGTACTGTCGTAAGCTTAAACATGCTGAGTTGATATTAATTACGACAATTAATCAATGTCACATGGTCTTTCCTATGAAGGTCAATAGGCTTCAAACTTAATCAGCAGATAAACAAAAATGTTTTAGTATATCACATTACCTTAATTATATCCATCAAACTAAGATTACATTCAAGACAATATGGATTTCTATTCACGGTACATTTCTCTTTGTTCACATTTCCTCGAAATTTTCATAGACAGTTCCACTGAATGAAACCATCACATACGACATCTTCATTATTACAATCTGTGAAACATTGGAAAGATCGAGTCTTAGTATAACAGTGGTTGTCCTAATTTTGATATGAAGATATGTTACATGGAACTCGTTATTTGTATTAGCTTTCTTGCTTAACCAGAATACCAATTTATATTTCTTGATTCCCAATGGTTTATTGCTACATTGTAATTTAACCATCAAAATACCCACTTCAAATTTTTAACCTGGTTTCGTGTAAAACAGCTAGAATCAATTAGTAATAACCTGTATTAGTTTAATAAGTTCATAATGAATACAATGAAATTTCAAACTGATATATGGTAAAAATCATCTCACAAACATTTTTTATCATTATTCACCTAAGTGAAATACTGTCATCAGATTGATAGGGTCGCTATGGGTAGTACTTTATGAGCATTATAATCTGACGTGTTTATAAGATATGTCGAAAATCTAGCTCAAGTTCTAATAGAAAATATGTGCTCTCATAAGAGATATGTGGATGACATAGCTATCTGTGATAATACAGAGGATACAATTCGTTTGTCGAGTAAACTAAACAATCTCTATAACCGCATAAGTGTTTCATGTGAAGAGGAAAAGAACACATAGCTACCTTTTTTAGGTACACATCATATATCTATTGAATTCATTCATTTTGAATAAATCGTAATTTATGCAGAATTCAGTTCAGCAAAATTGTAATTAAACTACATATAAATTACCGTCAAATTGTGATTAAGTAGTTCCACCACGTAAATTACCAATGAAGATAAGCAAAAGTTGGTTGAAATCAAAACATCATTTGAAAGAATAAACTAATATTATCAGCTTCGAAAGACATACAAAAGATTTCTAATAAGTGCTATATAATACGTCAAGTTCTTCATAAACAACACTGTTACTTCACTATCCTTTAGGAGGATTTAGGAATAAAATATTGAAATTAGACGAAGGTAACCGTATTTTAAAAAATCATATGTAATACTCGATATGTTAACGAACATTAAAATAATCGAATGTGAACATGTTGAGATCCAAATGATAACTAAGATAAGTTTTAGAGTATTCAGGGATTTTATAAATGAATCGACAATGACATTGAAAACAGGACATAGAATATACCCATTTTAAGGAAACCACGTTCCTATAAATTATTTTTTATTGTATGGAAAAAATTATTGATAGCTGAAACCGTTTCGTATTTATTAATTACCAAATAATGAGGTTGTTATTTTTTTTCTAATCTGCGTCTATCTCAAATATCACCAAGAACAACCACGTTTACTTATCTGAATAATAATCTGTTATAATTTTCTAAGACAAAGAATTAAATGCACGATTCGGTAAATCAGTTATGTTTATTCTTTTTAATACCTAATCTTTGATGATTTGATTAGTTGAACACTGTAATGATTTAGAACAAGACTGATAGGTTAGTGTTGTGACCTCAGCTAAATGCTTTATACTAGTATCTGCTACTTAGTACAACGAAACGAGACTGTTATGCTGGTGCAATTAATAGGGCAAGTGGGTTGAAGGAGACTAATTTATTCGCCAATCACTGACTTAATTACATCTACCATAGTAATTATAAACTACATATCACTTTAAATGTTTGGTCATTAAATAAATTTAAACGAATTCAACTAGATATTAATCAATAATTTAATGTATTTATATGATTCACTCAATCAATAAACAAATAATCAATCTTTCAATTCGATCAAATTACATTTTCACTGAATTTACATCCAAATATGATTGAATATTTTCACAATAGTTTGACCTTGAATGTGTTGGCGACACTCTATGGGAAATTGTATTTGTAAAACTCTAACTGATTAAAATTAAAAAGAACTTCTACTATTCTGTTGGCAGTTTGAAGTAAGCTTATTTAAAGAATTAGTAAACCATGGAAACTTTCCAAAGTAAATAGAAACCATGAAATAAAGGTTTACTAAATGTCTAGACGTCCATCTGAGAATTTATTAAAGTGTGAAGATGTCTCGTTTGACTTCAAAAGTATCCGGCTAAATTGCGGTTATCTTCACAATATAAATAGTAATTAATGTGAATTAAATCTGTGTAAACTGAGTATAGTTCTGAGATTGATTGAATCTGTATTCAAAGTACGATAGTTCAATATTTATTTGTCTTTTCTCATCGCTTACATCAAGTAATGTACGTTGATGATATGCAAGAAATTCTTTAAAACATATTTTTCAAGCGTTTATTTATTCCCACAGATTTCCCTGTTTTGAAATTGTTTCCACTCACTTATTGTGTTCATCAACTACATGTACTACGCACCTTCACAAAATTTTTATAAACTATCGTGAATTCAATTACTGAGAAACACAAGAAACATCACTATGTTAGTTCGTACACCGTTCTCTTCCACTTTCTTTTTAACAAACGATATCTGATTATCATAAAATGCGTGCACCAAATATAGATTATGTTATTAAACTTGATACCTTGGCGACAAGATGGATCGCAGATATTTACAGATGATTTAATGATAGCTAATCTCTGCTTGTAAACATGTTGAACACATTTTCCTCATATTCACAAATTAAGTGCTTATAAAATTGGGATTTTTTGTGATACTTGAGATTATGTGTTGACAATTGACTACTTCAATCAGACGTGTGGTTTTGAATAAATTTCAAATGTTACAGATTCCACATTGATTTTCTTTTAGTTACTGCTATATCATAGCCCTTATGTTTTACACACTAATGTGGTTGTATCGAAAGATTTTGTCAATATGTACTACCAGAGACTGTTTTATTACCACTTTATTTGTAAAGTTTCAGACAAACCATCACCTACTCAAACTAGTACCATAATTAGTAACATTATTGCTATAATGACAGAGGAGATACATTACAATAATAAAATCCATGCTTCAAAACAACCTACCGTCTTTTTAAAAAAATAGCTGACAAAGAATCATATTTCATCTAAACTTCTAAAATAGTCAATTTGCAAGAAATGAGAGTAACTGATCTTTGGAAAATAATGTAATCTTTTTGAAAACTTGGGTCAGATCATTTCGTAGAGGATCATAGAACAATGATGTATTTATTCATTAAAAAGATGACATGATAACATGAACATTGAATACATAGGGACAGTTAATTACTTACATTATGAATACATCAGTAATTATACTTGTGTAGATCATTGCTTCAATCGTTGCTTCATAATAAACTTCCTAATATATTTGACCGAAACTTCATATCAATCGGTTCTCAGGTATTGTCCACACAATTTAATAAATGATTAATTAAATCATCTAATAAATTTTCATTTCTCTTACTTAGTCTAATCTAAACGACTGTAATTGTTTCTTGAAAAACTACTCCTTAAAATAATAATTAATGTTTAGAAAATGGATAGATCGTGAAGATAATTCAGTCAGTCAGCTACAATGTAGGACCAATTACATATATGTATCGGTCCAAGTTGCCATACCTCATTAGCACAACAAGATGAACACCGAATTCATATAGGCAGTTAATTTAATGGTGGTAATATATAAAAGAATGATTGTATATAAGGATATAGTACAAAAAGAAAGAAATATATGAAGCAATTTTGATTTCATGGTAATCACCTATGCCATTGTGATCGATTCTGAGCCCTGTCACACAGTCTCCAACCATTGGTTATGATAGTTACGCGGACCCCAACCAAGTAGTCTACATCTACCAACATGGCTCAGACTAGAAATTAGTGATTTCAAGGACTGATGCCACGTTTTTTACTTGATTTCTTGTTCACCTAACTGATAATACAAGACTTAGTGGTTTATAAAGCAATATAAACTTTCTTTTGACGAAAAATATCTTCGTTTTACTTTATAAAATTTTTTTCAGAATAATTAACTAAATCAACAAAGAATTTTAATGAACAATATTGATATGACCTGGCCTACAACAACAGTTACTGTATCTAATGAAAAAGCAGTATTTGGTCAACGTAATAGTATAACGGAGAAATCGTCTAGTGATAATATACAGAAATCAGTCTATTCATCTATTCAAAATGATATTAAAAACTTAAACTTAAATTATTTGAATGAAGATGAACGTCAAAAAGTTTTATGCGTAGTCAAGAAAGACTTCGAAGTACGGGCTAAAGAACGAGAAAGATTGAAGTAAGCATTTATTCAACAACTTTATATCTTTTATTACTACTGCAAACTATTTATTAGTTACCAACATTCTTCAAAAATCTGCATAATTATGAACTGATCCACATTTCCACAACTTAAAACAATAAATCATCAGAGAGTGTAAGCAAGAGGAATTATCACAATGTAAATGATTAAATGGGTCAAATTTATTAATTTGATTTTATTAAATCAATAATAAGGTGTAAATAATCAAAATAAATGAGCAAAATCGATTTAGAATCTGCATAGAATAATTAGATTTTCAGGATTTCAAAAAGGTTCTGAAAAAGACTGAATGGTGGTTCATCCTTGTATGGGACTCCTTAATAGTGCATATCCACAACTCTGGGGTTGAGAATCGAACTCAAAACCTTTGTTTTTGTCAGCAAACATCTAACCTCCAGACCGCTGAGTCGGAATTCATAGTATACATTGTTTAACTCCGACCAATCCACGATGCTACATAGCTGTTTTACATTGTCTTTTATGGTCGTCTAATGTAAATTGGCTCGCTATTTGAATAAAATTCAACAATTTCCCCAACCCCTTACTGGCAGTTAACAATTTTATTCTACCTTACAATCATTCCTGAATTCACATGCTATAACTTATAACGATGTATTTAGTCTAAAACTTGGCATCTTCTTGGATTATTAATTTGGTTACACAATTGTAGAACTTATAGAGAATTCATTAGAAAGTATGTTCTCCATTCATACATAAGTGTTAATAGCTTGACAAAATAAGGCAGAAAACGTCTACGCATCTTTGTGCTCAATATCTGAGCTACCATCAGCTGCACTAAAATAAAAGTAGGATCACATTTCCTCATGATAAAAGCCGCCAATGTATAATGTGAACTGAAATTATCCATATCGATTTAAAAAAACGATCAATTAATTAAATAAATGGTAATCATTGATACTTTAATAGCAATCGCAGAACTGGTATAGGGCACTTTTGGCTTACCAATGAAACCAATGTTCAGTCAATCAAAATGTTAATGATATATTTTATTACGTAACATCACTGAAATGTTTAAGGATAGAATTAGGAATTAGATTTAGGATTTAGAGTTAGGTGTTAAGAGTAATAGTTAGAAATAGAGTGGATTAATGCTTCGTAGCCATATACATGTATACTTATAGAAATGGTTCTTTGACTTTAAACAACAAGAACCTCAAAGTTAACTTTAAAACTTGTTAAATCATGGTCTACATTCTTTAGTTTTCATATGTTTACCACTTTTTGTAGTCTCATCAACAAATTTTGTTAGGTTTTAATCAGTTCTTAATAAAATAAAAGTTGCTGCTTTGAATTTCATACAAAAATCCAATAACCACTATCTTAAATCTTATTAGTTCGTCACTAGCATTTACCTCCGTTATTGTGACATGTACTCTGGCAGACTGTAATACGCAGTGAGTTCACAACAGTGACAGGATCATGTAGATTTACTGACACTTGATGATGAATCGTTGGAAACAGTCGGAATGTTTGTGTATCTAGTGATTTATGTTGGCCTGATGTGATTGTGTAACAAGTTATATCTAACTACTTACTTCAAAAGCTAGATCTAAGCTATTCTGGTTGTAAAAACCCTACGGGTATAAACAAACCTTTTCTATATTGGCAAAATTTACATTCTTTAAGCTGAGTATCTTCATTATCTTCTTACGTACGACACCAAGTTGATGTTCGCAAGACTGTAGAAAAGAAGATATTATCATCATTTTAAATCAGTGCATTTGGTACATCTGCAACATTCCATGCTTTTTGTTCAAGTTACTTCCACACATGGAATTAAATACTGATATAAAAGCAAGATGAATAAAGAAGATAAATAATCACCTTATGACGCCGAACCTTGGATTAAGAGTTACTTGTATAGTATTAGCAATTGCTAAAGTACTTGACTTCAGACAATTATAGGCTCAAACTTCAGTACATGTACTTAAATATTTGCCGCGGATAAAGACGTGACACAATGTCTCATTTCTGTAAGTTACTTATTTCTTAACAAACACTTCTTCATTGGAGATCGGACATCTATAAAAATCTCTCTAAAAACGTCACGAGCCTCACAAATCCACAAAAATTTATAAAATGACATGATTATGGTAATAAGAATCGCATTCAGTACCCCTTTTCTTGAAGTTTCTTTTACTGGTTTAACAGTACGCTTTCCATTAGTATATGGAACTGAGTTTTTGATTGATTTGAGAGGGCTACAACTAACAGGATAAGGAGCCAAAACGAACAAATTCACCATATATGTCATGATGCTCTCGTTCTACAACTTACGAAATGATGACTTAATTTTCAGAATTACATACTGTTTATCTTACGAGTTATTACTAACTACCAGACGGATAGTCTATCTCAATACAAGATACATCAACCTGAACTCGGTAAATTTATAACATTGATTATTTATTGATTATAGAAGATTGTTACATTTCACAATTTTACTACATTTCTATTTCATTAATTTATTTTATACATTTTTTAAAAAAAAAATTATTAACTTAGCCGATTTCGTTCGAGTATTTTAAGACGAGATAGAGAATTGGCTGCTAAACATTTGACTTCACTTACGGAAAGTACATCATGTTTATTATGTGGACGTCCATTTATACTTTTAATTAATCCTAAACGTATATGTTACAATTGTAAACGTGAAATATGTCGAAATTGTTCAGAATCTATAAATCAATACAATGAATTCTTTTGTAGAATGTGTTTAAAAGAAAAGTAAGTTACATTTTTTTTAAAAAAAAAAGTAGTTTAGCATCTATATGGATGTCAATGATAAACTGTAGAATTGCTAGAGAAGAATATTTTATAGTTTAAATTCATTTTGTATTATTTGTTTGAATCTTCCCATCAATGTGTTAGGACTGCAACTGAACAAGTAAAAAACAACAGAAAAGTCCATAAATTCACTCGGTATTGTCTGTTTGAATCTTTCCATTGATGTTTAGGACTGCAACAGGTCAGTCTCTAATTGGTATATGTGCATGCTGTGCGCACTGCTTCGATATAGCCTAAATTCACAAGCATTGTAAGTAAAGATGGATAGTGTCTAGCAGTGGAATGGAGGACGCGCGTTTCGTCCTATTCGGGACTCGTCAGCTGGATGTACCTGCAGTACTCTTCGCTGCAAACACCATCGCGTTATCCATTCGGCCACTGAGTCCTGTTAGCCATTTCCTTGTGCAATGGAGTGAAGTTGAAATTTATTTAGTATTGTTTGTTTGAATCTTCCCATTGATGTTTTTAGGACTTCAACTTGTCAGTCTCTAAATAGGACGAAACGCGCGTCCTGGATTACACTGCTAGCCACTATCCATCTTTGCTTACAATTTTATAATCTATTTATTCCAGTTTAAAAAATTATTCTACTCTTTTGTAGTCAGTTTTATGATGCTCAATAAGATACAATTAGTGTCATATAATGAAGATCAGTTGTATGTAACTACTATAATATCATCCAGTATGTTTATAATTGACAATGTTAGTTCTTCCTTGATTATGATGTTCTCAACTGGAGTCACATTTGAATACATCAGCCAAATACGTTCCATTAATCGTATTAAAGTTTTTATCAATGAAAACTTATGTATAACTCAAGAAATATCTAGATCTTTTCAGTTTCTTGAAAAATTTACTTAGTCAAAAAAGAGTATTTTTAAAACAGGCTTTGAAAAACTTAATCTTACTATCTAAATTAAATAATTTTACTCTCCTAGAATGACTGTTCTTTGGACAAACAAATAATAGCTGGAGTTAACAAAGAACTTCTGTTTTAACGATGATATCAGCATAATAACTTTTCAATAATGATTAATTCAACTCTGAAACATAAAAAATCAATCACATAGTTGATTAATCTAACTGAATACCTAATTCGAAAAGTTACAAACGATCTTATATAATTCATCATTTGTTTTATGCCGGTAATTGTTTGATGGAACTCCTTACGCGCAACCGTATTTTGGACTTTGATTTGCACAAAGCTTATGAGTATATCAAAGGTGATTGACTATCAAACTGATTCCCGACCCATGATCAATTTCAATCCACTGGACTAACATAAATTTTTACTATCATCACCATTACAGGGCAAAGAATAGAGAGGAAGGACAGTTAGAATGGAATTTGAAAATTTTTAAAAATGTATTAAGTATACTACATAAGCAAGAACCTTTAATCATTCAGCATCTCAATATTGCACTCGATATTAAGTCACTTAGATTAGTGGTCACCTTGGAACTTGACCGAGAGAATTCAGTTAGCAATTAACAAGACACTGATTAATACTCAACAACGGTTTTTTAGTGTTTATTAATCTTTAGAGCCTTATTCAAATGGTTACAATGCGACCTTGGAATATGCACTAAAATGTGCCTGTTACATAACGTTGGAAGGAAGTAGTTTTCGTGAACCAACTTGAATTCTTTCGTTTTTAATTAAACTGTTTTTAAAAATGAGTGATTATTTCACATATTTTTAAAATGTTTACAGTCCAATAGTTAAAGTTCTCGAATTCTTTAACCGACAATTTCTCTCTCGTTCTAACCGGTTTCATAATCAAATTTGTGTAGTTACCAAGAGATTCCAACAGCGATTTCATGAGCTTATGTCCATAAAAACTTCGAACTCTGTTTAGTCACTCACATAGACACACTAAATGTAATCTATTCATTGTCAGGTTGACGAGGTTCAACTATTAGGATGTTTTTTGTTTTAATTTGGTAGGAAATGTCTTCTTCATGTATGCTGAGAAGGCACATTTATAGTCAGGTATATAAAAATGCACCAAAGGAGCAACACGTCCATAAAGACAATAATTCAGAATCATACATTTTCATTTAAATTTGTTTTTTTAACACACATTAGTTGGATTACGGTTAAGAACTGTGTATCTGAGTTTTAGACAACAAACAACAACTACCTCCTATAACGATATTCCTGTTCCTTCTAGACGATCAATATATTAGCATACCTTCTTTAAATTTTCATTAACTCTGTAAATAATATACTTGATTAGAACCTGGAAATCTATAGTAATTAAATAATCACATCACACATTTTTGAGAGTTGAAAATTATTCCTTTCTTTCTGTGCTTGATGAAAAGCATTCTCAATAATATGATCATATGAGCGATCATTGGGATTGAAATTAACTCCCACTGTCAGTTGGTAAAGTGAACAACTGGGTCAAATTGTTTCAATCAATAGGTAGGTAACAAGCTCAGTTATAAGTATCCATTACCTATAATCTAGAAACAATTTGGTAATAAGCATTAAACAAGCATTCTAAGAGGTGCTTTCAGATATTTAAATGAATTTAGTTTTTTGTGTCACTGGTTGGAAAATTATTATTTCGCACATTGATAAGTGAATAATGTTTAAACTGCAACTCTTCAGGTTAGTCTGCGTTTTACTAATTTATCAATCTAAGTATCAAACATTAGTCAGTGGAAGTGTGATCATAATTCAAAGAATAAAGTGATTGGCTAGTTACCAACTAGCAATAGCTGATGAACATCATAGCTTATTGCCAATCAAGTTGACATCATTCTCACAAAATATACAATTTCTATTCTCTTTCTCTGTAAACGTCATCCTTGTTAGATATTATCCATTGAGAAAGGAGATAACAAAAGTGAATAGACTTAAGTTATTTGTTTATACTTACACCGATGGATCAGCTGGAAATTATACCATCATTGCATCGATAACATAATTATTTCAATGTTTATTAATCATTACTAATTTTTACTAATTCTGTATTATCCTACTTTAACTCGGATCTAAGTAACCTAATCCACTATTTAACTTACAGGGACTAAAAACAGTTGCTAACCCAATTTATCTTCTGTGTTCAATATGGTTTTTCTACTGACTTTACATAAGTGAATAATGTCTACTTTTATCGTATTCAGAAACTATCGTGCAATGACATGTAATTGGTTTTACGAAACAGTAATTCAACGATTCAGAGAATTCGGAAGTACAGCTGTTGCTAAAAGTTTATTTGGATCAAGATACAAACGTAAGTTTAGCATAAAGTTTAATGGAAAAAATTGATTTCAAGCTTTCTCAGTATTATTATTTGTCGAAAAAATCACGATCAGTGATGCTCCATAACATTTCCAGTCAAGATAGTTACCATATATCTTACGTCATTGCTTACCACGAGACTTTAAACCGGTCAGCATAGTAGGATGTTGAAAAAGAGCTAGAAGCCACTTATGCAAGACATCAAATCATTCGACTAAATCACTGATTGTTGGTCTACACGGCTCCAGATGGCGCATATCGCTTAGTTAAAGTCTGTGAAATAAACAAAACCTATGGTTGGAAATCATAGAATAAACAATCAACAACTGAGTCTGGTCAATAACACTCTTAGACAAATGGATTTTACAAACATTCATACAGAATTTTCTTCCATTTAGTTTCCTACTTTTATTGATTAATATCCAAAAAGCTATTTACACTTTACTATTTACTGAAAGTAGTCACTTCCTCAATAATTACTTGAAATAATAATATCAGGATACTATAGGTAGACTTTGTTTGGTCAGATCAACTTTGGGAAAGATTTCAATAAGTTGAAAATTAGAGACCATAACATGTGGTGTTAACCATGTAAGTGGTTTGATTAATTCATCAATTACATTTAATGATGACCATTGAAGTCATAAATATTAACTAATGAATTTTGACACAGTGATTTAATTTCATTATTTACGTGGCTGGAAATCGGAAGGTTAGAGTTTAAATTTAGTGATTAGAATGCATTGTAGATGGAATCTCAAGCTAAGATGAAGTAATGGTCCAGTCCTTTTTTCTTCTCATTGGATGTTTTAAAAGTTAACTGCAGTATATAGTAGAAATTAACTACAGCTGATATAACTTCTTTGTTAAAACAATATGAGTTTCGTTAAAATTCTGTGCGATCTTCACACTGTATCGATGAATAATACAAAACTTCAAGGTGTGAAGTTATGATATTACCATTAGGAGATTTAAAGGTTACAAAAGTGGATAGGTCCAGGAATTATCTAAAAGAAAAAAACGACTGACAGGAAGCTGGTATATTAGAAGTAAATATTAAGTATATTGGTAGAACGTCATTTCCTTCATATTTTGTTCTATTTAAATAGATTTCCCGAATCAGATTTTATTTCACTGTTGGAACAACCAGATATTCTTACATTGCAATTTTAGGTTTGATTGAAAATGTATTTAAAACAAGTTTCATTTTACCGACTAATAATCTTTCGTATTGATAAGTCTGGTGTAATCTAATATTCCTACTTCTCAATGTAACATAAGACAAACAGGGTGATAGTCCTCATATTCGTTGTACATGCGTGCTAGTCCATATTCTCTTCTTCCTTTTATTGTAACAATCTGTCCAGTTATAACAAAAGTTTAACATTTACAACCAGCTAAGAAAGGATTATAAACAAGATTACAGTAGTACAATAGTCGAAATCAGGATTACTGTCAACTAGTTCTCATCACTCACAAAATGAGAGATTATCAAATAAAAAATTTACTAAACATTATTATGTTCGGATGGCTTCCGAGAACTACGACGGAGCCTCCAGAGGTCGAAGAGTTACCATCTAATCATAACGTGGTGAAACTTTCCAGAATATCAACGTGGCATGCTACAATTGGACAGTAGCATAAATGGACTCTTTGAGGATTGGCTAAATTATAATAATGTTATAACAAACGCTAATATCTATAAATACCCATGATTTTCTGTACATTTCGATTCCTAACCAACAACCACGTCTCCATTTTTCTTCTGTCTTCTAATTTACAACTGTGGGGTTTCTGTACGTTCGAGTGACGTAGTTGTATACCGTATTCCGCATTAATCAAGTAGCAAGCGTAACACATTAAGTGAATGCTTTCAAGTACAAACTATCAAGCTTTAATTAGTTTTTCTCTCAGTTAATTTATAATAATGAACTGAATACTTACAATGCGTAAATATTATTGCCGTTCTGAACAACACTATCAATACAAACAACGGGGAATGTTTCTATGGAGTATTTTCATTGCCATCAAGTCTGCAATATACAGATATTTCAAATATCTTCCTAGTCAACTTAATGTTCATCGTTGAAAGCATTAGTCAATTGAAGCTAGACCACCATGGTAAACCTAGAAGCACTGGACGGCCGTTTCGTCCTATTATGGGACTCCTCAGCAGTGCGCATCCACGATCTCGCCTCGCGGGATTCGAACCGAGGACCTACCAGTCTCACGCCCAAGCACTTAACCGACAGACCACTGAGCCGGTATCGAATGGTGTCAATTTTTAACTTCAACCAATTCACGAAGTTGAGCAACCATTCACCAGTTGTCTTCAGTGAGTTGATATCTCACAACAGACGTGGTTGAACCAAACTGGCCACTGCTCAGTGGTCTATCGGTTAAGTGATCTGGCACCAGACTGGTAGGTCCTGGGTTCGAATCCCGCGAGATGAGACCGTGGATGCGCACTGCTGAGGAGTCCCACAATAGGAGGAAACGGCAGTCTAGTGCTTCCATGTTTTCCCTGGTGGTTTAGCTTCAATCGATTCATGCTTTCAACTATGAAAATACTGAAATCTCCACAAAATCCCTTCTGATAATATTGATGTTCATCCTTTTCGAGTTTCAAAACTCATCATATATGAACATAAGGGATTTGAAACGTTATCTATTAAAATATTCTTGTCAAGTAAATAGATAATCATCAGTTTTATCATGAATATTAAACTACATATTTATAATAATTTTATAATTAATTGAATTAATTTCAATAATTACTTCCGATTCATTTCTCTATATAATGAATTTTGTGAAAACATAGTTAGTACTGATATGTATTGATATGTTTTGTTCAGTTTGGTTAATGATGTTTCAGATAATAGGTGATCAAAAGATTTCAACCAAATCACTGAAATTACATTTCGTGCTAGTTTCTTCTTGTTAGTAAGACTCACATGAAACATTAAATGAACTGATCGAGTCTCTGGGATCTGAAACATTGTCTTCCAGTTTACAAGTGTGAGATGTTAAAATTGCATTTTAGATACCGAGACTGATGACTTACATGAAAAAGATATTTATTCTGATTGATTGCTAAACAGTTTTGTTTTTCTATTCCTTATTACTAATCGGATTCCATTGATAGTTTTTTTAATGTTACCACTATTTTAAATGATCTAAAAATAACTTAATACTATAACATATAACATATACCAAAAAGTGTTGATTTTTAACGATGCTTGTTTCATAAACATTACCTTAGGTGAGAAACAAATTAATACACAAAAATGTCTAATAACATATAGGGTTATTGAGGTTTGTGAATCTTGAGTTTTGCATCATTGACAACCGTTATTTGGGCAACCAGTGAAAACTAAAATACATTTGATTGCATTTTCATTTGAGACTAACATTTCACATCCATAACGCTACCATAGATTGAGCCTAGAACCTTTAGGCCTCTCAGCAAGCACATAACTCCAAAAACACTGAATTAATATGCCATGATAGCACTTTTGAATTCAATCAATTCGTAAGACTACCTAACCATCGTCCAATGTTATTTATGATTATCAGTTTTACACTTGACATAATTGAACTCCACTAGTCATAGCTTATAACTAGAAATTCGATAACCACTTCTCAAAATTAGTTATTAGTGCGTACATGTTTGTCCTCGGTATATAGGGTTGTAGGAGTTAATTAGTTCACCAGTCAGTCAACTACAACGTAGGACCACGCACATATATGCATCGTTCCAAGTTGCCATACCTCATTAGCACAACATGATGAACACCGAATTCATAGTTGATTTATTGATGGTAATATATAAAAGAAAGATTGTTTTTAAAGATATAGTGCATTAAGAAAGAAAGACATGAAGCAATTTTAATCTCAAGGTTTAAGAGAAGACAGAGAGTGCATATGCTATTGTGTTCGATTCTGAGTCATGCCACACAGAGTCTCCAACCATTGGTTACAATAGCCACGCGGACCCCAAATAAGTAATCTGCATCTACCAGCACTGCTCAGACTAGAAGTTGGTAACTTTGTAGACTGATGCCACGTTTCGGTTTGACTGCTGCTAACTTTCTTACAACCATCCCTAATACTAGTCAGTATAGTGCGTCGTGGTAGTCGGTGTTCAGGCATACGTAACACGTGGCTCAACCATCTCAGTTGATGAAAATCAATGACCTCATCAACTGATTTACCATCATTCCCTAATACCCTGTGTCTAACCTCACTATTACTTACCCGGTGATCCCAGCAAAAGCAAGCAATATTTCTAAGGCATCTGTGGTCAAATACTGATAGCTTACTAGTATCTTCTACTCCTAATGGCCACGTTTCGCAGTCGTAAAGTAGAACAGAGAAAACTGCTGTGCAATATACTCATCCTTTAATATATAGACGGATATTTCGACTTCGACATAAGTCACGTAAGTTGGTAAAAGCCAAACGCACGTTTTTGATCCGTGCAGAGATTTCTTCAGACAATAACCTATTACGTCTGATCAGACTTCCAAGATAAGTGAAGTTGTCGACGCGTTTGACTACTTCACTCTCTACCCTTAGTTCAGGTATCGACGCAGACCAGTCTTGGAGCAACAATTTACATTTAGAGGGGAAGAAACGCATTTCAAACATCCTGGCACTATTATTCAGTTCTAACAGAAGACTCTGCATTTTGTCTGCGTCTTCACCAAACAGGACTATGTCATCTGCGTATTCTCAGTCGATAAGTAGACCTCCTGGTAGCGGACCAATTCCTTAAGATTCGGTCGACGAGGGCATTATTTCTAGAAGTAGGTTTATGATGAAGTTGAACAAAATTTGAGATAGTGGATAGTCTTGCTGGACATCACTTGAGGTCGTAAAATCAGATGAATGTTCGCCATAAGCTCTTACTTGACTGGTAGTGTTTGAGTAAGCAGTCTCCACAAGGTTTGTTTACTTCTGAGGCACACCTTTCAGTTTCTAGTGCTTTCTAGTTCTTGATGATCATCTAATTGAAGTCATTCCATCATATTTTTTAACTACCAAATACTCGTTTATCATTATATTTGATAACACCTGATTACTAGTCGGTTTCATTAATTATTAATTTGTATATTTTAGAAGTTCAAAATATGGCTGAAGAAGAACTTTGGAATCTTTTATTTCGAACATCATCGTCTAAAAAAAACTCCATCGAATCTAGTATGTGTTTTATGCCCAATCATTTTTTGTGTGTATATTCAAAATGATAAGTTACTGAGTTTTTATTTATTGTTTAAGTTTACAAGAATATTTTCGTTTCAGTTATTATTTTAAATCGTCTGTTAAATTTTTAGTGTCGAAAATCAAATGAATTCCAAGATTTAAATAGAATTTTCTTATCATATATGAATTAACGCCATCATAGCATTAGACATCTGAGTTTGTAGCTTTAAAATTAGATAATGTAACTGATGTAGAACTCTATATGGAATACTTCCTGAATAACAATGAAAGTTTCTTAGATAAACTATCTAGTTTGGAGAACATAACATCACCAAAAGAGTCTACTTGATATGTATATGCTCTCCATTATTTCAGTCACAATAAATGGTCCTACTTTAGACCTAATAATAGAATATATGGAGTGTGGCTAGCAATGGAATCCGGTATTGCGTTCGTGTCCCAGAGTGGTGAGTCCCGAATAGGACGAAACTCGAGCATTCTATTCCATCGCTTACCACATTTCATCTATTCTATATACTCTATCGAGGTAGTCTGCACAGGATGCACATATACCAACTAATACTGATCAAATTCCAGTCAAAAATATCAACAACGGGATAATCCAAACCATTTCATTTACAGTTGTTTTAACGAAATATTTATGCAATTACGTCATAAATTGCTCTTATATGTTATTGTAATAACCCCATTCATTATCAAATTGCTAAATTCTATAGGATACAATGAAAGACTCAAAAATAGTTTTAAAAAGTTTCCTCTTACATCTCTTCTTTTGAGAAATGAGAGATGAACGGATCTGAATCCATGTATTAAACATATTACTTGGTATAAAAGTAGTTAAAAACTTTTTACAGTTGAAAGTAAATGACATACAATTACTGTCGGTACTATATTTGAGCCTACGTTTTTCAAGTGACAGCAAATGTAATGTTTTCTAGAATATAATTTTTTTTATAATTTTGTATATTTTATCCTCAAAGAAAAACTTTTTTTCTGTAACCAACCATGTGTTACTGAATATTACGTTTACTGTTGGTAACAGGAGCTAATCAACGTTTATTCAGTTTTTTCATAAGCATACTTAAATTACTTAAGATTATCTTGTCAGTCTACAATATGTTTTTAAAAAAAAATTATAAACAGCAAAGAAAAACTACTTAATTTGCTTATTCTATAATGCTTGCCACCGCCACCACCACCACCAACAACAACAGTAACAACCTATTAATAGATCATTTCATATTAAACATTTTAGAAGAATCAGAAACGTTTTATTCAGCAGATCAAGCTAGAGAAGCACAAATTAAAAAATTAAGAAATCGATTAGAAAAATTAATGGAAGAAACTTTAACTGAATTGAATGCAGTTGAAAAAAATGATTCATTATCACCAAGACAAATTACTTGGCAACGTAAGTTGTTAATAATAATAATAATAATAATAATAATAATGAGTTTTGATTCGCTTTGTTAAAGTTAACAGTCAAGTAAAGAAGAATACTATCAGAAGAGCATTTTGTGGTCATTATAATAATTTCAATAGTTGAATCAATTAGTCAATTAAAGCTAAACCAACATGGCAAACCTGGAAGCACTGGACAGCCGTTTCGTCCTATTTTTAGGACTCCTCCACCGTAGGACGAAACGATCGTTCAGTGCTTCCAGGTTTTCCATGGTGGTCTTACTTCAACGGACTCATGATCTCAACTATTGAAAAGAAGAATACTGCTGGATAAACTAATGAATTTCATCTATTGTGCATAACTATTGGATTGTACTAAATTTACAGTTGATCAAATAATTATTTTATTAGTCCAGTAACCTTTTTCATCTGTCATCAATCAGAATAAACGTGTAATGACATGAATCTTCTCTCAAGATACGACTTTACATTTCATTCAGTTTCTAAATCAGGTGAGGTCTAATTTCAGTCAAAATGCTGACTAAATTTATACAATGAATATTTAAGTAGAAAGTTTTTCTATGATATTTATTATGAATTAAAATTAGCTCAGTAATATTTTCTAAGTAAAGGGTATTGTATGGCTGTTTTTGTACCACAGTTGATGACTATAATTATGATCATTCCAAATCTTTAGAAAGTGTCTTAAATCAATAATAATCATATCTATGTTAGTGAATTTCTTAGAGTTAGATTGAACAGTTATATAGGGAGATTCAATACTTTGTGAAGTTAAGTAAACTAAGTATTTGACATGGTGACTAAGAGACTGAAATAATAAAGGATAGAACTGTATCACCAATGCTGATTGTCATTGAAAGATTTGATAATTAGATTTCTACTGAGTCGCTTGATGAGTTCGTGTTCACCACGAGACTTTCGTTAATGTATAGGTGAAAATCATAACCCATAGACCAATGATAATTAGAATTGAAGCTTATCAGTAAACTTGAGAATATATTTTCTGTATAAATCAACATGTAAACATAACTCATATGTTACTAGTCTACATTTCAGTATAATTTAATTAATACTGAAACTTTTGATCATAGCGTAATATGTAGTAGATGTAAATAGTTTAATATTACAGTTAATGAAAGGCCTACAAATCACTAAAATTTCAACCTCCGTCAGTTCCCTACAACCAGTGATTTTCTACAAATTCTTTGATTTCAAGATTGAAAATATAATTTACAGACTTTTGTCATTGATTTAGCTTCATAACTCATTAATTCAATTAATCTCTGCTAGTGAACGCATTCCACAAGAATAACTCGACAAAATATTTACAGTTTCAATAAATTGATTCATGCTATAAAGATTTCAAAATTGAATCTGTTACTTTCTTGATATCTTTCTACCCAGTAATATACAGAAGATAACTTGTCTCAAACTAGATTAAGACCTCGACGCTATAAGCTGATTAACTTAACCATGGCGTTAGTATGCATGAATTCGAAGTGAGACCAACTGCTTCGGGTACAGAGACAAAAACTATCTTATCACCTGATTGCCTGACAAGCACGAGAGAGAAAGAAGACAAGTCAACTGGAGCACTACTCGATTTACTCCCAGTTCTGATCCACACTCCAATCTAGTTCCAATTCAGATTAGATACATGAATAAATAGATGACTAACCAAACTATAACTCACAAACAATTTGGAAAATACAATTATGTTCAAAACTAGGGGATTAGGGTAGAAAATGGAGTACAAAAGATTACTTTTGAATCACAAAAGCTTGGAAACAGGAAAGGCTATGATAGTGAATCATACATCAAACGAAAGCTTATGATCTGTAGAATACACGACTAGGGACAAAAGTAAATGTTACTGTTTAACAAGCTTTGAATTAAATGAAATAACGTCCCCAAAAATAGATTCCTTAGTTTATCCAGGCTTCTTGTTTCTCTATTCACATAACAATCATGATAAATATTTAAATAGAATTATAGAATATAACAGTTTCATCTGTTCAATACGTTGTATTCATTATACACGTCTTCATTTTGAAACTAAGATAGGAGTTTTAAAGGAAAAAAATGTTCAAAAGTGATTGTTTTTTTCTTCTCCCTCTCTCTCACTCTCTCTCTCCCGAATAATTTGATTGACATTCAATCATGTTTTTTTACTTTTGAAGTAATTATTTCACCTCACTACTGTCATCTTGGCTTTTTTCACCCGTTATTAAGTTAAATAAAATGATTGACAAGTAACCGAAAAAAAAACATATCGACATACTTATCTCTTTTTTCTCCTAGAAACCAAACCATGAATGAACAAATTTTCAAATTATAAAAAAAAAATTTTAATATTTGAAATTGAAAGGAAAATATGAAAAGTAGAGCAAATCAAATTATCTTGTCAAATATAATAATAATAGTAATATTAATGATAGTAGTAATAATAATGATAATAGTAATAATAACTCGAATTGTGTATTAATAATAATAATAATAACTGTAATGATTTGAGTCATCTCTTTTAAGAGTTGGTACAATACTAAAGTTCTGAAAATAGATAATGTATAGAAACTATCCTTGTTTGAGTCTTCCCATTGATGTTTAGGACTGCAATTGATCAGTCTCTTATTGGCGTAAGGTACTGGGTTTGAGTCTACGGTGAACATCAACTCTGATATGCAAGTACATCCAGCCAAATAGTCTCAAATAGGACGAAACTCGTGTCCTGGATTCCACTGCTATCCACTATCCATCTTTGCTTATTATTCTACAATCAATTTCAGTTATGGTTAATTTTGGTTAGGCCCTTTTTATTAACATACTTAACAGACAATGTTAATAGAACAGTAGCGATTCGTCTTTTTCTATGTACGGTTATGATCACTAGATCACATGATAGGCTCTGGCTTAAATGTTGATTACTTAAATATCACTCGATGATTGATTCTCTTTCCCATGTATTACTTACTTACTTAAGCCTGTTACTCCCGATAGAGCATAGGCCGCCGACCAGCATTCATCAACCCACTCTATCGTGGTCGTTTTTTCTAGTTCTATCCAACTCTTATTCATTCTTCTCATGTCTTTTTCCATTTCTCGGCGTAATGTGTCCTTTGGTCTTCCTCTTCTCCAATGGTCTTGAGGATTCCATGTGAGGGCTTGCCTTGCGACACAGTTGACTGCTTTCCTCAATGTGTGTCCTATCCACTTTCATTGCTTCTTCCTGATTTCTTCCTCCACTGGAATCTGGTTTGTTCTCTCCCACATTAAGTTGCTGCTGATAGGGTCTGGTCAACGGATCCGAAGTATCTTGCGTAGAAAACTGTTAATAAATTTTTGTATCTTCTGGATGATGGCTTTCGTAGTTCTGCTCGTCTCCGCCCCATACAGTAGAACTATCTTGACATTTGTATTGAAAGTTCTGATCTTGGTGTTGATTGACAATTGTTTTGAGTTCCAGATGTACTTCCCCAGGTACATAGGTACTCAAATCCTATTATTAGTTTATGCTTTAACTTGCTGTGCCCTTGTGTGATTTGAATACAAATTTCCCTATGTATTTGCTTGCACATACATGTTCATCTATCTGCTTCAAATTCTATTGGTGTGCTTATAGCTTTGTGGTCTGCGCTATCCACTAATAAACTGTAGTTACCGCTTCTCATTGACTTGTGATTTCAAATACCGTTGAGGTTCATATAATAACGGTTACGAAGGTGATAGGTTAACGAGGTAAAGCCACTACAAATGATATATCGTGTAGTAAATATTATTACTCAATAGGATGTGGAAGTTCCTTTTAGTTTTTACATCGTAGCATAATTAGAAAATGTTCTGCAAGAATATTATACGAGTATTCACTAGAAACCCTTTGTTGTTGTGTTAAGCATTATCAGAATGGTATCTCATGTTATATTTACTTGAGATACTAATCTTCAATCTTCGGTATAAGTTTTAACGTGTACATTTTTCACTTAAAATAACTAATTTCTACTAGGTCAGTTTTATGAGATACATTTAAACAAAATCCTTAAAAATATAAATTTAGGAGTAACCTAAGTTTATTAGTTAAAAAGCAATAGAAGACTCTACTATCATCAGTTACACAATAAAGAAACATTTGAATCATTTTTTTAGTTGCGAACCTTCCCTGACAGTAATCACTTTGTTGTTATTATTAACTGTTATACTTCTGTATTGAACAGAATGTTGTATCGATCATTAAACCTTACCTGTAACTTATCATCTTCTTAGCAATACCTCTAGACTAATTGTTGTGTGATATACTTGGTTTAAACTAATATACACTTAGTTGATAATCTTTTCTTGAAATATAAAGCTCTCTTTCAAAGTCTGATAACATTTATAATTACTTATATGCAGCTTTCATTACGGTAATGCTGTTGTGTTCCCGTTGATGTTCCTAGGAGTTACACAACACCATAAATACCATACGCTACTAAGAAGCATAATAAATTTTCACTAAAGTTAACGAAGTATAAAAATGGTATTCTCAAGTTATTCAAACGCATTCTACTCTGTTACAGTTTATTTAACTTCTAACAATTTCTATGACTTCGTACACCTATATTGTTTGTTATTTAGGAAAATGTTCACAAATATGTTTTTTAACATTTGGTGAGGTTATAAAAAAAACTTTGAAAAGTAATATTTTCCCTTTTTTCTTAAGACGAAAGTTTGAGCATGAAGTTTAAAAAGAATGCCTGCCGTGAAATGAGAAATTTTATTCAAATTCTCTACATAACAACTGAAAGTAAGTGGAAGATTTTACATGTTCTCACGAACATTTAACTATTTAGACTATAACTATGTAAAATATTGGTGCACTACATTCCCAACAGTCTTATCACATATTTACTTGTTAAAACATTTGTACATAGAAAATCAAATGTCAATAGGACAGATTGAAAGTAAGAGAAAAACTACGGCAATAATCAAATCGATGTTAAATGCCACCACAAAGTATTAGCACAAGACAACATAGGTTTGTTGAAGCCCCAACCATATAATGGTTCAAACCTCCTTGTGTTCAAAAAAGTCTGTACTTACAGTAAACCTACCTTGGTAAGGTTGATTTATTATCCGGAGTGGTGTTTCATGGCCTTTTACTTATGATCTATGTTTTCCTCTTATCTTTCAATCTATTTGGTCGACCTTCGGTTTTCAATCTACAAATGTCTTAACTAGTCGATTTATCATCAGGCCGTTAGAATTAGATTGGGCCGATAAATCATATATTTCTAGTTAACTTCACATTTTCATCGCATTATCTAAGTCTATCAAAAGAAACATTTTTTTAAAAATAAAAAAAAAAAAATTTTTTAAGCCTAAATTTTACGTTATTTTATTCTAACTACTGTTTAAATTGCTAGTCGGCAAAAATATTAATAGGATTTTTATCTTATGAATAGCATGTGAATATTTGATTAACATTTTCAAGACACAATTAGGATATACATCGAAGTAAAGTGTGTTTACTCCGTTCAAACTAGTCTGACCAGCCTTTCAATATCAAATCACTTCATTGATATTCCTATTCGTTCACTTCAGCAGGATTCTTTAACTAACTAAGCTACATTCTTTACCATTTATACCTATTATTTATTCCGATGTATATCAATCAATGGATCGATAAAAACAAGCTATGGTGCTTACCAAGATAAAGTGAAACTTTATTTTACAAGTTTGTCAACGTAGGTTTCTTCTTGAACTAAGTTATTGATGCAGTCCGACATACACATGGTATATCATGGATTCTTTCTTACACTGTTGCGAAGCGCAGTTTAAATTGTCATCGTGTTTTCGAAATTTAAGTTACAAGATAAATGATGACACTGTTGATTTCCACCAATTTTAACTTCTTGATGAAATTTTAGGAATCTATCTCATTGCTCGTTACCAGCAGGTTAACAACTGTCTTGTTAGTTTAGTTCAAGTTCCTGGCGGGATTTTTTGGAATAAACAAACGATTTAAACATATTTTATCAAAATGAGAATTAATAAAAATTTACTGCTTTCCACAGACATTGGATATTTTATTATCAATTACAAAACGGATATTATTTGATAAAGAGCAGTGGTTTTCAAATTCAAGCAAAACATTCAGTGTAATGTGACAATTTTCTTGATTAAAAAAGTTGAGATTATGAAAACAACTAAAGGTGGAAAGTTTTCACTCTTTTTATTCACAGTTAGTCAGTCATGACCAATGGAGAACCTGACACAAATCTATATCGGTTAAAGTTGTCATACGTATTAGCACAGTAAAATGAAATTATCAAGACAAATTTTTTGTGTATTACAAGTAGTAACAGTATTAGCTCTATTATTTTCAGTCACCGATGATGAAAGAACATTTTTGCCTGAAATACCACCTCGATGTATCTTTCAAATCGTTCCCTATGTAAGCTAAATTGCTCCACAAGTATTAAGAATATATGCACCAGAAGTAATCCCTTTTTATATAATGAAAGGATACTAAAAGTGTCATAGTTTAATCAATTTGGGAGAATAATGAAAGACAGAACTATCATTGTTATCCCCTACTTCATGTATAATAAATCTTCCTTTTCCATCACGTTATTATTACACAAACAATACATTGCAAAAAATTTACCTTTTCCACCAAACATTTTATCAGAAAATAATACAAATAATCATGATTTTTTTAAATTTTGCTTCATGAATCAAGTGAAGTGAGGGACTATTTGAGCGGGTTAAATTTAGACCCTTAAGTTGACACCTCCACGGTTCACAGTTCCAATCAATATACATAGGCGATAAAACGCTATTATCATTCATTGTTTTCAGTAATACCCATCTAACTAGCTAATTTAAAATTAGCTACTCTTTGGTTACAGTGTTTTCTTTAACCATTTTTTAAAAGGTTAATTACTACTAACTTCAACCAGTGACATAAAACAGAATGAAATAGATTTTTGGTATAGATTATGTATCCGTCTACACATTAAAAGTTGAGAACATTATACAGCAGCCTAATCTGTAACTCCATACGGCTAATAAATACATTCTTAAGAAGCGAAAGACACTCCTAAATTTTAAGTATTTTCGATTTTAGATATCTTTGAATCATTGGTTGAGTTCATTGACAGCACTAAATAAGTGATAATCACGTAAGGCCCAAATAATGAGCAGAAGTGATACATTACTTGATGATTGTAGATTTTTGTTAATAATAGGGCAGTCATCTACACTTACTCATTCTAATAGCCAGCACCGAAGGAGTTAGAACAAAGTAATGGATGAATATATCAAAAACACCACATCAGCTCGCCTCTGCTTTTGTTGATTTGAAGAAATATAATTACAATCTATCAGTCAATAATATAATATACTTTAAAATTTACTGATCAGTAATTCAGCCAACCCGGAAATATGTGCTCATGAGTATTTTGTTTACTGTAATGGTGGGGATTAATTACTACTGAAAGCACTGAAACCTCAAACGTATTTATACACCCATGAATTCGACCACCCAGATAAATCTGTTACAAGACTAATGCTTCCCTGAACAATAAACTAAATGGTCAGATATGTAGGGAAAAACTTATATATCTACTTAAGACTCACAACATATCATAATGTCTCCGCCCATGAAATTTTATGTCGCTGGTTCTAATCTCACTGAAATCCATAGTTCCCTCAGGATTCCAGAAACGTTTTGCCGATAAATATTAACCGGTACAAAACCAAGATTCAAAGTTTCCTACAGATATCCTAATTTCAACGAAATTACTTTGAAACATAGTGTACATGATGTATTGTCACTTAGACTTACGTTCACATTGCGACGTGATTGTCAAAATCTCATCAATATCCAAGACTATGTAAACCTGGCGTTTATCGCCACCAGGTAATGAATAAATATGAAATCTAATTACGTTATTATTGTGAATGAAAATAAACATTGAAATTTCGATATTCTAATTATTTTATCTAGAACGACAACGGAAGCTTCAGGATTAACTTAATCAGTACAGAAAATGCAAACTGATCACCAAAAACATCTTACTAAGCTATGAATATTTCCTTGATAGATACACAGATACAAGTGATACATTTGTCGCTAGCAATGATCAACAGTTTTATCATTAATTTACTAAATATTCCCGTTTTAACACTAATAGGGTAATAGGAAAGTTAGTACTATTAAAATTACTGATATTTAAACAAGTAATTCCTAATATTTCACTATCCTTTATTTTCTACCCGCTCTTCTATGTTAACTGTAATATACTAGAGGAACGAATGAGTCAAGGTATGAACACTAAGAACATTACTCCATATGTAATGGATACTTTAGAGTGTGAAATTGGTCGAATGGTTGGATATAGTGTAAAAGTACGTTTTTACTTTGATTTTAAATTTTGGCAATCTGTTTTTATCAGTTGGTTATTAAGAGCCATTCAAATTTTAAAATCATTCCAGTAGTAGCTATGATGAAGACTCATTGTATTACTGTTTAATGTAACGGGATATGTTATGCTATCCTTATATCGAATTGATAGTGATTTTTTAAAATAAAATACCCTTAAAAAATCCGTTCAATATATTTACCAAGTTGAGTTTCATGGATTTACAAAAATGAATATTATTATTAAAATCATGAATCAATTGAAGCTAGACCACCATCGAAAACCTGGAAGCATTGGACGGCTGTTTCGCCATATTGTGAGACTCCCCAGCAGTGCGCATCCACGATCCCGCCCCGCGAGCGAGATTCAAACCCAGGACCTATCAGTCTCGCACGCAAGCGCTTAACTTCTAAACCCTTTGAGCCGTTATCCAACGGTGTTGATGTCCAACTTCAACCAATCACTGATCCACGAAATTGAGCAACCGTCCACCATTGTCTTCAGTTAGTTGATATCTCACAACAGGCCTGGTTGAACTCCACTAGTCACTACTTCTCACTAGAACTCCAGGAAATATCTCTTAAAGCCAGTCACTAGTGAGTTTCCAGATTTTCCATGGTGGTCTAGCTTCAATTGACTCATGATTTTAACTATAAAATTACTGAAATCTTCACAAAAAACACCTCCTGATAAGAATGAACATGAAGTGTATACTCAGATAAACTATTAACTGAAAGACCATGATTTCCACTTTTAGCATTCGGGTATATTTTGAGACCTAAATTTACTTACCTCGCTAGACGTGGTATTAAACAAATCTTATTATTTATCCTCAGGTCCACTTTTTCATTTATGTAGACTTATTGAAACTTAAGTCCATTACTGTGTATCACGACTATAACGTGTTTCTTTTTCTCGTTGCTGAGTAATCTTTTTTCCAGAATATGTAACTCATTTTCAATTTGCTGAATCTATGTGATTCTGATAAATGAGTTCTCTATATTGATTAAATAAGTTTTAACGGACCAATATCTGACTCATGTCAAAGCGTTTGCTAATTTTTATCGAAATATACATTCCACCAACCCTCGTATATTCTTATCGACTTAATTCACGTTAGAGACTAACGAAATAAAATAAGCCAAATACGAGAATGAATTTTGAATACGTATATTTCATATATTCACTGATCCAGAAAAACAATCAAAAAAACGAAGTGAACGAAGCGAAGTGGAATGTAACGAAGAGGGGAATTGAAGAGATGCTCAGTGAAACAAAATAATCCGGTTGTGTCAACATTTCATTTTATATTTATATACAAAATTTGTTAAATAAAAACCAAATTCAAAATGAAATTACAATGCGTTATCATACTTAATCATATTATTATTATTATTATTATTATTATCATTTCTATCAATTTAACTTGGATAGGGTATTACAGATACAAACAGTTTGGCTGTTGAAGATGATAAAGAATCTGTTACAATGGTTGATCGTGATGGTGTAGAAGGACAGTTGGCTGAAGTTCTTTATAATAAAGTATTTTTGATTAAAATTAATTTATTACTATAATTTTTATCATATTTTATGATCTTATTTTTAATAATAATTTTCATTATGATGTGTAACAATGAAAGGATATTTTATGGATTATTTGGGTTATGATCAATCACCTAACTAAATATGAATACAGTAGATGAACTCATACGACGGACTATAGTGCAAATTGGTACATGGAGGACAGCTGACAGATGCATTCGAATGTGAGGATAATAGTAATACAAGACTGTCCACTCTCTTCCTTACTCTTTCTTCTGGTGGTTGACTGGATTGTGAAAACCTCGACATCTGAGGGGAAGCATGGAATACAATGGACAGCTCAGAACCAACTACACGGTTCGGACTTCGAAGATGACCTAGCACTCTTATCCCATAAACATGAACAAATACAGACAAAGACAACTAATTTAGCAACAGTCTCTGCATCAGTAGGCCTTAACATACACAAAGAGAAGAGCAAGATCCTCAAACACAACACAGATAACACCAACGCAATCATACTTGATGCAGAAACTCTGGAAGATGTGGAATCTTTTACGTACTTGGGAAGCATCATCGATGAACAAGGAGTATCTCATGCAGATCTAAAGGCAACGAGTAGCAATTAAGGGCTGCATTCCTACAACTGAGGGACATATGGAACTCAAAACAACTGTCAACCAATATCAAAGTGAGAATCTTCAATACGAATGTCAAGACAGTTCTACTGTACGTAGCTGAAACTTTGAGAACCACTGCAATCATCATGAATAAAGTAAAGGTATTTATAAACAGTTGTCTACACAAGATACTCAATGTCCAGATACCACCAACAATAGCCTTCTGTAGGAGAGAATAAACCAGCTTCCAGCTGAAGAGGAAATTAGTTAAAGGAGTTTGAGGTGAATAGTACATACATTGAGGAAATCATCAAACTGAATGATGAAGCAAGCCCTAACTTTTAATCTTGGAAGGAAACGGAAAGGAGGAAGGCTAAAGAACACATTACACCGGGAGATTGAAGCAGATATGAAAAGGATAAATAAGAACTGGAAAGGATTAGCCAGGACAAGGTTGGATGTAGAGAGCTGGTGGACAGCCTATGCTCCTCCACGAGGGGTAACAGGTGTAAGTAAGTTGGGTGAACAACAAATTTCAGCCTGGGAAAAAGTGTCAAAATACTGAACAACTTATCAGTAAAACATGAATTGTTTTGTAGAATAAAAATAATGAGTTTAAATGGGAAATATATACCGTAAAAATATTTATATTTAATACTTGCAATAAAATCTAAAAGTTTACAAGATTCGGCTGATCTAGGCCATATGTCAGTACAAAATACCAATAGTGAATTATGTGTTATACACTTTCTACTCCAGACAATTTTCATGACCGTACGTTCTCTATCTAACATCATTACTAATCCAAAACGTAGTTGAAAAAGTTATCAAGTGATTCCTGATTCGCATTAGTTTCGCGAATGACAGTGAAACATGAAAGAAAATTATCTTCAAACCGTATACAAGTAAAAATTCATCTTGTATTTTTTGTTTGGATCTTTCTTTTGATTTTTGGAACTGCAATTGACCAGTCTCTTATTGGCATAAGTGTGCCCTGTGCTCATTGCCTTGATATTGCCTTAAATCACAAACAGGTACCTTCAGCTGATGAGTACCAAATGGGGCGAAACATCCATCTTTGCTTAAAATAAGATAAATTTTTTAAATTATTTAGACAATTTCAAAAAGGTTAAGCTATCCATCAAAACATTACTCTTGTACAAACGATATATGTATTTCACCAGTGAAACTGAAACGTTTTTGGTGTTTTTGAGTTCACTAAGACAGGTGGTTTGGTTTCGAAGCCTTCTTTGTTTCCCCGAACAGCATTATCAGGTTATGCTTAATATAGAAGTCAATTCACGTACAAATGTGGACAACGAAACCATCGAAGACAATTAAACACAATGATGGCCTATAAAAATAAATGATCCAATGCACGTGGAATAACTAAGAAGCTCATTTTTCATAAAATTGGTCCTGATTATGTTTTTTTAAAACGGTAAAGATACCTTAATTAAGCTATATAGCTAACAAAACTCATCAACATTAAATTATCATAAGCAAATGGGATTTCAAAAAATTTGAATGAATCACACTTCTATTTGATAATGGGACCAAATAAGTGAAAAGTTCAGTGAGAAAACAGAATTCTGTTTTCCACCTGAAAGTGGCTCTACAATTAGTGCAGTCAGCTGTTAACCACTTGATATTAAACAGAAAATTTCTTCATCTACCTCTGGTTCATTGGCCTATGATTGGTTACTTACATAGATCATTGTGGGATAATATTTCAGCACTTAATATACATAACGTTTCAGTTATTCCTTGTTAACGCTGACGACTTAAATTAAAAAATGAAAAGTATTGGGTCCGAGTTTCAACGTAAATATTAAAGGTGGGATGAAGGTACATTTATCTGATAAGTTCCAAGTAGCACAAAACGTATGTTATCATTCCACTGTACGCCCCATACCAAGTATACTAAGGTATGTAACACAAAGCTATTTTAAAACATATAGACATGGTAGCAATGACTGAATAAATGCAGCTTTTAATATCAATTTAAGAAGTTAAAAATTCTTATTAATAGGTTCCATTTAGTAATTACTTTCGCATTTGAGAATTTAGTAACGTTCCGGAAACCAAACTTACAGAGAAATTCGTAGGAGCTACTGCAGTTATACCCAAAGGAAAATTGCAAATATCATATACATCAATCACAAACACTTAAGTTGGTATGAACAATATGGTTAAATAATGATTATCCAAAGAAAATTCGACTATCGAATGAATATTAAAAAGTAGAATGACTATACATCAAAAAAGAGTCGTTCTACTGAACATAGTTACACCAGTCATACACACAATTTAATCAAGAATGTGTGAACCCTGTTAGAAACTAACCTAAAACATAGATAATAGTAGGATTTGAACTTTGGTAGACTATTTACGATTCAATGAATTTGAAATCTGACTATATCAGGTTTAATTACTACCTATCTAAAGTAGTATATTGTTACTGTCGATTTACAGTCATCACTATCAATCTAATTTATCTAATTTATTTAGTCTCTCTTTGTTTCAATACATAAAATGATTTGTTAATTAATTTTCTTAATTTTTTCAGCTCTATTCGGACCTTAATTCTACGAAACAAGTGAGTTACTTGTAATTATTAATAGCCAATAATGAAATAATAATTTCCATATAGTATTAGGCATGGTCCATGAATATACATATCTACAGTTGATAAAGAATAAAAATATGGACCTTCCTATTTCAACTCAAATATATCATGCACTCAATGAGAGTTAAAGTTTCTGCCTTCGAACTAAATGTGAGGTTGTCACCTCATACTGCTGAAATGTCCAAAGCAAGAGGAGAATATATTGTATACTGTTTCCCTGTTCTCAATCGTCGTTTGACTAACATGAATAAAATGAAAACCTCATAAAATTTAGGTGGAATTTTGTTGTCTTAGATGGATAGATTATGTTGATGATGTTGTTCAAAAAAATAATAAAAGCTTCAGAGTGAAACCAACCAGCTCAAAGTACAAGACTCTACCTAAATCATCTACCTGAGATTCAAATCTTTTCCACCATCTCAACTTCGTTAAATATAAATAAATATTTAAAACAAACTTCAATACTCATTTCACAAACATTGAAGATCATGACACTGTTCAGTCAAGATATTATGTTTGTTTCAGTTAATAAGTGTCGTTTTCTTAATGCATTACTCAGTTTATAATATTAGAATATTATTGATGATAATTTCCATGAAATCATCTGATTCATTGTAAATATTTGCCAATTTTCAAAAAGATACAAACTTGAAACAACAACACAAAAATATTGTTGATATTAAGGATGTGTCATTTACTTACCTACTCCGTTAATTCTGTTATTGAGGAATCGGGTTAACAATTTACTTATTATACACAATCAGTAATGTTTTTAACCATGAAAATTAATCAAAAGAAAAAGTTAAGTCATCTCTACAATATAATGTTTTATCTGGGTTTTTTTATAGTTGAAATCATTAACCAATTGAAGCTAGTTCACTATGGAAAACCTGGAAGTCCTGTTGTGGGACTCCTCAGCGGTGAGCATCCACGATCCCGCCTCGCGAGCTTCAATCGACTCATGATTTCAACTATAAAACTATAAACTATAAAATCTCCACAAAACCCCCCGTCTAATAATAATAATATGTCTTTATTTTTAATTCTATCCGTATCAGATCTTTTGTTGTATCTATGGTTTTTATATTACTTAATTCTCTCATCCACTAATTGTTTATTTCAATTTAGGAAACTGTTAAAAAGTTATCATTTCAAGCATCTAGTCCAGCATCAACTGATACAAATTTAAATAAATCATCATTCAATTTCATAACTGAATCAGATCATAATAATAATAAACATGAACTCAGTGTTATAGAAGGATATCCAATCAGAATGGAATATTCTTTACCATATAATGAACAATGCGGTTAGTATTTTTTTTTTAAAATTAAATTCCAATAAATTTTTAAAAGCTTTTTTTAAATTCTTCAGAAAATATTTTTTTCAAAAAACTTTTACTACTAATAGGATCATAGTTAATAAAGAAGGGTATTTAAGTAGTATTGTAGTGAACAGAACACTGGTTGGGGACAATCGAATGTATTTAAGCAAAGATTACAGACTATCTCAGTAAATTCTGATAACCAAACAATGAACAGTCAATTTGCAAATTAACAACCAATTGTTTCAATCTTCACTGTTTCTTATCTTATTCCATTGCTTATGCATTTTCCAAACGATTGCGCTTCATTTCAGTTCTTTCCTCATCGGTCTTCTGCCAAAATACATTCTATGTCTGACCCACACCATATACTACTTATATAGATATAAGTAGACCACACCACAGTATGTTCAGTCAAAATTGTGTGCTTTAATAATTTGTAACAATAAATGCAAAAAATCAGATAAACACTGAATGAATCAAAATGCTGTCATAATTACTTGACGATACCATTCTAAACCATTCCAGTCTAATAAAAATTTCACATTTTTGACTGAATAACTAAAAATTATTATAGTGAATGATAAGGTCTTTTCAATTCTCCCTGGGTTTTCAGTGAGATGTCTGCTAGCGTTTGTTTATAATAGTGATCTTTGTTTCGTTAAGAGTGGAATTAGTCACTTCTATCTTTAAGACAAAATAAGCATGAAGTTGAACCGATTTGCAATAAATAAAAATCCAAACCAAATTAAAGTGTAATTTTCATATTTTAAATCTGAAATAATTTTAACTAGACCATCACTGAAAACCTTGTAGCTGTGGACGGTCATTTCACCCTAATATGGGACTCCTCATAGGTGTATATCTACAACTCCGTACGTGGGAATCGATTGTAGCTGATGAAAAGATTCTTAACTCGACTTTTTATAACGTCATAGGTGAACACAGAAATAAACTTTGATTCTGGAACGAAACATCAGTTCAGTGTATCTTGCTTTTCAACGGTCGTACAACTGATTTCGATCGTGGACTTTAAATATTCTGAAACTTGAAATTTTATTCGCGTAATAACTAACAGTGTAATTCAAGACGCGCATTTAGTACTATTTGGATCTCTCATGTTGTACATACCTGTGTCTCAGAGTTGATGCTAACATTAGGACCTAAATCCATTATCATTTGCTTCGAACTCTAAGGTACTATCCATAGAGCCCTGGTACGTGTTATGAAAATGATTTTAGTTTAATTTTATTCCCTCGTTATTAATGTTAAGGACACATGTCACCTGACCAGTATTACCATCCTAAAGAGACTGAGCAATTAGAGACTATGATATTCAAAAAAGGGGAAATACAAATCTTTGCAAATAAAATTCAGCATGCTTTTGTAATGAAATTTGTGAACACAATTTCAAGATGCGTATCTTAACAGATGGAATAGTGTTAATTTATCAGAAATGAGAACTTAAACATCTAATTCTGATTACCATTCTGTAATAAATCAGAGTTATCACATTGTGAACGAGATTTGTAGGATCATAATTAACTGACCAAGAAAAGTATCATTCAACCAATACGTGTCAACTGATCCAGAGCATCCGCATAACCTACACTAGGCTTCATAGCCTAACTGATGCTAAAAAGTGACTCTGATAAGATGATCAATTAGATATATCAAGTTTAATAGTCAGATCTTCATTTCAGAAAAAATATGAAATCATTTTCTTTAAAACCCCTCATCTTTCAATTGACTTATAAAAATATTTGCTCCTATGCTAAATATCTTATGCATAAGTAATTTTATGAGAAAAAAAAACTTTTATCCGGGGCATCTCTATTGACCTTTGGTTTCTGTACAATTTATTGTTATGATCGCACAATACTCGGCCATACCGTATCACGCCATATCGGCAATCAGTTGATATTTCTTCATTCACTTCAACAGTATATTAATGATAACCATAACACTTCAAACTTCCTGTGTAACAAAAACTTGTAACCCAATAAACATGTGAAAGTATTCAAATCCATAATAAGTAACTGAATCTTGTATGGTAGGTTTGTCTAGCTTATGAATTCTTCAAGATTAATACTTAGTTATCAAGAAGCTTACAACTAAACTTAAAATTTATTTCAAATAAGACTAGCTACTATTCAACAAATCAGTAATGATATTGTTTAGTTACGAGTTTACTTTGAACAAATGAAGAAAGAAATGTTTTCTTATGAAACTGTTTTGAATTGTGGTGTGGGTTACTTATATCCAAACAAGTAGTATGTAACGTTGGTCTGGCATTGTATGTATTTCAGTAGAAGATCGATAACAAAAGAACGAGAAAGAAACGCAATTAGTATGAAAATGCATGTACAATAATAATCGTATGTAACGGACTGATATTTTCAGAAGAAACAGTCAAGATTGAGACAATTAATTGATAGTTCGCAAATTAACTATTTACTGTATGGTTGTCAGATTTTAGTAAGATTGTCAGTAATTTTTGTGTCAAATACATTCTATTGTCCTCACTCGTGTTCTCATTCACTACAAAATGAAGTATAGATTTCGTGTGATTATATCTTCATCTCATGTCATTTTCACTATATCACAGTAAAACAGACATTTACTTATCAACTCAAAATGAATTCAGCATACTTCTGATGATTTCCGATTTTAAACAAATTTTTGGTTATCAATTACTGAATCAGTAGTACACTATATTTCTATTATAACTTTATATCAAGTTATTATTCCTTCCATTGTTTTACTGTTTTACATGTCTCTCTCCCACTCCCTCCAAACTTTTTAGAATTTCAATGGTATAAATTAAACAATAAAAATCAACGAGTCCCGGTCAAATTTGATTTTCGTATTGAACATGTCATCACTGGTACAATTAACATGTCATTTAAACAACATCAACAATTGAATCATCAGTATCCGAAACATCCATTTGTTTTGTCAAATTCAGGTTTTATTACAAATGAAACAAAACAAAAATTGAATCAATGGAATTGTAAATTATTAGAATCTAAATCAAACAGTAATTTTAATACTACTAATAATAATAATGGTAATGTAGTTATTTACCTACAACATCATCTCATCATATGGGCATGTAAACTTGATGATGCTGGAAGGTATTTTGCATCAAATCAATATCCATTGAATTCAAATGATATATCATCAACCAAAGAGAAGGAATTTATACTACAAGTAATAAGTAAGTTAACTATTTTTAATTCAATAGTTGAGATCATGAGTCAATTGAAGTTAAACCAACATGGAAAACCTGGAAGCACTGCATGGTCGCTTCATCCTATTGTGGGACTACTGAACACGATATTTATCTTGTAGTAAGAGTACAATTCGTTAAACTAGGAAAAAAACTCTGTTCCGTAGTGACAAAATATATTTCATTTTCAGTATCAATTTACATATATATTGTTAGTTATATTGTTGTGAATGAGAACACAGGTGAGGACAACCAACTATGTATTTAGCACAAATTACAACGTTACTTGGTAAAATACAAAAACCATGCTATGATACACTGTTTGCAAAATGTTCTTCAATTGCTTCAGGCTTCATTGTTCCTGGATTTCCACACAAATTGCTTTTTATTTCTGTTCTTCTCTTCTTGATCTTCTCAATCTTCTGCTGTCAGATATTCTATTCCTTACTCACCATATATGTCGATATCAGTAGCTCACACCACACTTGTCCCCCCTTTTAATAAGCTGTTCTCTCAATCTTTCTGATCGGCGTACTATTGTCTCCTTTGTTGCTGTTCGTGACTCGTGCTCATGATGTTCCTGAAACCATCTCTGTAGTAGACTGGCATTTACACGCCTCTGCTTGTCTTCTCTCCGGATCGTGTAAACTGGGCCGCGTCTCTCCGTGATAATGTACGGTCCCTCCCATTTCGGGGTCAGCTTTCCTGACCCTGGTCCCCCTTCAGTGTTAGCTCTCCGTTCTCTACACTTTACCAGGTCCCCCACTTTAAAAGGCTTCTATGCTCTTCTCTTCTGTTCCGCCTTCTTGATGTCTGATATTTGTTTCTTTTTCACGTTCTTTATTGCCTCCGTCCTCTCTTTCCTTAATCTTGTTGCCGTCCACTTCTGCTGCTGTGGCCACGTCTTATTATGCATCGGAAGTCGTGGCTGTCTACCATACATAAGTAGGAAAGGTGATTTCCTGGTTGTTCCTTGGATGGAGGCACGATGCGCCAGCAAAATTAGTGGTAACTCTTTCTCCCAATTCCCTCCTTTAGATGCTAACCATTCCTTTAATGTCCGGTTGTTTCTTTCTGTAAGCCCGTTTGTCTGAGGGTGATACGGTAAAGTTCGTATTCTCTTGATGCCGAACTGTTTTAAACGAGCCTTAAACTCGTCACTTTCAAAACAGGGACCCTGGTCGGTTAGTATCATCTTCGGTACTCCATGACTCGCTACAATGTGCCGGATTATTACTTCAGTCAATGTTTTCGCCCGCTGGTCGGCAATCGGTACAGCGTCGACCCATCGTGTAGCATGTTCCGTCATTACTAATAAGTATCGGTTGCCGCTTTCCGTCTGTGGAAATGGTCCCATAACATCTACTGACCAAAGATCACCGACTGCGGTTACTGGGACCGACTGCAATGGCGGTTTCATGTATCTGTCGCTTTTCATTAATTGGCACTGCTGGCACGTCAACACATATTGGACCACATCGTCTCTCATGCCTGGCCAGTATGCACTTTGCCGTAGTAAATCTGTCGTTCTTGCGATACCTGTGTGCGCTACCTGATGGCATTCGTGTATCATCTTACGCCGCCAGTCTTTCGGGATCACGGCCACCCAATTTTTGTCATCATCCTGCCAGACCAGAGCTCCATATGTGTTCACTTTCAGTCTTTCCTTTTGCCGAAGCAACATTATTGCCTCCTTGTCCATTGCTCGTTTGTCAACATCTGCCTCCTCTCTTATCACCCTGATTACCTCTCGAAGTTTAGGATCAGATTTCTGTTGCCGGACGATTTCTAGTGGGTCTCCCTCTATACTGTTCACTGCGTATGCTGTCAATGGAAGCTCGGCTTCCATGTCTGGTCTTGACAGGTAGTCCGCCATTACATTTTCCTTCCCTGGAACATGCCCGATACTGAAGTCATACTCCTGCAGACGTATCATCCATCGCTCCAACTTCCCACGTGGGTCTCGTGCTGTTTGTAGCCACTGCAGAGGTTTATGGTCAGTCTCGATGTAAAACCGTCTACCTAACAAATATGGTCTCCACTTGTCTACTGCCCACACAATCGCTAAACACTCCTTTTCGATCGTTGAATACTTCTGTTCCGCAGGTGTGAGAACGCGACTTGCGTATTCCACCACTCTATCAGACTGACTTAAAACGGCACCTATACCATGGTCACTTGCGTCTGTTGTCACTGTAAACGGTTTCTTCAGTTCGGGGCAGTCTTAGCGTCATCTGGCAGTCGTCCAGCATGTTTTTGATTTGATTAAACGTTTGTTGGGCGGTTTCAGTCCACGAAAATTTAGTGTTACTCAACAACTTATAAAGGGGTGCTGCTATATAGTTGAAATTCTTGATGAACCGACTGTAGAACGCCGCCCTTCCCAGAAACTGTCTCAATTTCCTTTTCGAATTCGGTACTGCAACGTTCTTTATAGCCAGAATTTTCTCCGGCAGTGGATTTATTTCTCCATTTCCCACTTTATGCCCCAACAACGTGATACTACTTTTCGCCATCTGTGACTTGTCCTTATTAATTCGAAGTCCGAATTCTTCAATTCACTTTAAGACCGCTTCCACATGCTTGACATGATCTGTTTCTGTCTGGCTGTATACAACTACATCGTCGCCATACACTTCGACGTTATCTAGATCCCTGAGCAGTAGCGACATTATTCTTCTGAACGTAAATGGTGCACCCGCCAATCCAAACGGCATTCGTCTAAATTGATATTGTTTATCACGTATGGTAAATGCTGTCTTGCTTCGATCGCTCTCTTTTATAGGCAGCTGCCAATAACCAGACCGCAAATCCAACACTGTAAACACCGTGGCATTCTGTAGCCGATCTAATGTTTCCACTACTGTTGGCATTGCACACGGCTTTAGTTCTGTTATATTATTCAGTTCTCTAAAATCAACACAAAATCTATATTTCCCATTCGGTTTCTTTACCAAGAGTACCGGTGAGCTATAGGGGCTGTCCGCCTCCTCGATTATTCCTTCTTTCAGCATATCTTGGACCTGTCGATTTACTTCAGCCTCTAAGTGCACAGGGACACGACGTGTTGTGAATATACTTCCTCCATTGTTCTTTATCGGGATTTCGTGCTTTACTTTGTCGCAAAATCCGTACGGTTCTCCTTCTCCAGTGAACAGTTTCGCATACTTTGTGCACAACTCGGTGAGGTTTGGTTTCTTCGTCGAAACGGCTGTTGCCACTCTAACCTCAGCCACCTCGCTACTTTCATGTATTGGGAATGAACCGTACTTCGTGACCACCTTACCGCTTCTTAGGTTAACTATGGCTTTTACTTCTCTTAGGAAATCTGCTCCTAATATTGGTCTCGACAGGTTTGCGGTTACCACGAACGGAAAACTTATCTCCGAACCATCCACTTTTACGATACTGTTAGACACGCCCAATACCTCTAACATGTGCCCTCCTATAGTGTGAACTGCGACTTTACACGGCTTGAATCTCTTACATTGTTCTTTACCTATTAACAAAACTGCTGCCTCTGTATCGATTAGGCACACTAAATCTAATTCATTTACGTTCACTCTTGCATAGACTGCCCCTCTATCTACTAATGCAACAACCCCCAGATCCCTAGAGTAAGAAAGAAACACATAACGTCTAAAATATCTTCGTTTTCGTCGTGTTGGACAGTTTATCTTCCAGTGTCCTGTCCCTCCACATGCGAAACACTTATCATTCCTTTTACGAATCACTCGTAATGCCGCAATCTCGTGCTGCAGTTCTTCAATCTTCTTCTCAATGCTGCTTATCTCCTGACTTCCGCACGCGACCGGAGCTACTGTCCGTGTCATCAACTGTCGCGTCACCTTTGCAAGCTCACTGATATCCATAGGTTGCGCGGCGTGTACCAGTCTCAGCTGCTGGGAAATGGCAACAGGCACGCTCTCGATAAACTGCGACGCCAACAACTGTGCCTCCGACTCCTCATCCAGTTTTGGCAGCGCGCGACGCAGCAACTTGGTAAGCTCCACGGCCAGATCAGCGGATCACCATCGATCGGCAACTTCGCCACTCGGAACTTCTGCAGTGCTTCTTTTCTGTCCACTGGGCTATCGAACTTCACGATCAACCGCTCCGTGACTGCCTCCCATGTCCTCTTACCGCCCGCACCGTCCAGGCTGTCATATACAGCTTTCGCTCTGCCTCTCAGCAGCGTCCCCAAAACCACCGTCTTCGCCTTCGGCTCCTTCACTCCCACCAGCTCCGCTACAGCTTCGAACTCCTTCAGGAAGCCCAGAACATCTCCGTCTTCAAATTCCTTCGGCCATGGGATCTTCATCCTTGGAGGCAGCGACACCAAATGTTGTGAATGAGAACACAGGTGAGGACAACCAACTATGTATTTAGCACAAATTACAACGTTACTTGGTAAAATACAAAAACCATGCTATGATACACTGTTTGCAAAATGTTCTTCAATTGCTTCAGGCTTCATTGTTCCTGGATTTCCACACAAATTGCTTTTTATTTCTGTTCTTCTCTTCTTGATCTTCTCAATCTTCTGCTGTCAGATATTCTATTCCTTACTCACCATATATGTCGATATCAGTAGCTCACACCACAATATATCTAAGTTATTGGTTGATGAAAGATTAACTCCACAATATACATTATCCGTCAACATAACTCAAACTGATCTCGGGAAAATTTTCATAACTGACCTTAGTTACATCGTTCTTTCAAGAAGTGTTTGAGAAACCTAGATAAGCCAAGAAACATTTTAAGTACCTTTGAACAATCAGTTGCTTTATTACTGTTTTGATTTTTGTGGTGTTTGATGTTGTTAAAACATATAGGATCTGGTAGTATGCCGGAAATTCGATATTCCAAGTATATGATATGAAGAGTAGGAGTTCAGATTTACACTTTGTTAACGATAGGATAAACCACCTACAGGTAGTATGTACTGGAAATATTTCACTAAGGCGGGAAAATCAGTTTTTTTAAACTGATAATGATAATGAGAGTAATTAGATATAGAAATATCATTCATTTAACGAGTTAATAAATGAGTTCGATAGTATTTTAAAAATTCAGAATCTTAATTTATTTCGACATCGTGTAGATACTCAAGAGAATAACTATTTACTAGTACTTAACTTTATCAGTTTTTTAATTCTCCGTTAAGAATGGGCCTGTAAGATGGAATAATTCATTGCTGTAGGCAATTTAGTAATTATGATAACAATTGCTCTATTTAGTACCACATGTCTGATTGCATCAAAGAATTATCAACGTTACGTATTTAATATCGTACCGAATTCCCCATTTCATAATCATATAAGTAGTGTACATTCCAAAAAATGCATATAAAAAGTTGTTGTATAGTGATTTTCTGCTATTATTATCCAACCGTAAATTTTTGTGATCGGTCTTGTTTCCATGGCATCACATTGCATGTATGAAATCAATTGTAACCATTTCTCTTTTCTCTACTCAACAAGAAAGACAGAAAATAAACAAACTAATGTAGAGGTACTCTAGAATCTAATAATCATATTCGTAATAGGTAGTAAACATTATATGAAGGGGTATAAGGGGATGCAGCTGATAGTCATACTTAGTGAATGAATACAAATCCACACACAGGAACACTTACGGTAATGAATGCATATTTGGAAAACTAGTGACTCAGAAGTTTGGGCGGGCAGCCATGAAATACGTTGAACCATATCACTGAAAGATATTAATGAAAACACAATTCGTATAGTGATTATAAACTATCAAAATTTCTTCTTTAAAACATCTTGTGTTCCCCTTATTATTATTAGTAAATATTCTTTAAATGGATACATGTATAGTCTCTACCAAGGTAGGTGGTTAATGACAGGAATATTGAAGCACCTATAAACAACGAACCTATACGAATACAATTAATTACAAATCAGATCAGCGGAACCAATTGATTTAAAACGTTTGAAACCATTCTAAATAAGCTCAAACATAAATTAGGTTGACAGGGATTTTGCTGTACAGAATGATAATAAAAACTATCGGTTAAGTGCTCTGGCGCGGGAATGGTAGGTTCTGGGTTCAAATCTCGTGAGGCGAGATCGTGGGTGTGCACTGCTGAGAAGTCCAAGTGCTTCCAGGTTTTTTTTTGGTGGTCTAGCTTTAATTGACTCATGCTTTCAACTATGAAAAAAGCTTCACAATTAAATGACATTGCACAAAGAAGACAGAAACATAAATAGCGTTTAAGAAGTCTTATTGTTTGTTAAAATAATACGAGTTTATGATAGAAATTATGATGAAGTTTATTTTACTGCTTACCTACTGATTATACTATAAATTTCAATTGATATCTCTTTATTTTAAAAATTCAGAATCCAACCAATCACCAGGTAGTCTACAATGTTCACCAGAATTTATTGAACCTCTTATTGTACAGCCTATGAGCAGTACTAACAGTGATCCTTTCATTGAAATGACGTGTATAGTGACAGGCAATCCTATACCAAGATGTTTATTATACAGAAATTCAGTACCTATTCCAGTGGTTGTAATGCCTTTTCTCAATATCCAATGTAATGATCCACTATCTACATTGAGTTCTTTAACGCAAAAATACATTGTAACAACATCTCTGCTTGATTTAAACAAATCAAATCGATCAAACAGTTGTACTAGAAAAATTACACTACGTCTTAATCGGCCATCTAGTTCAGAAGATATAGCTACCTATAGTTGCCGTGCATGGAACTGTTATGGTCGAACTATTACATCAACTGTTTTATCGGTGCAAGGTAAACATTAACTAACTTTCTTCTTATTCATATTGTAATCACATTTTTTAGGGAATTCCTGTAATCTGACTGTATTTTCTTTTTCAATAGGAGACGGAACTTGAATGTGTGTTTTTTTCATAAAGTTTGAAGAAAGATTAATTAACTACCCTTTCTATTCTTAATCAATCATAGTTGAATATGTTCTACAAAACTGCCAGCTGGAGGAAGCATTTAAATTTTTTCCAAGGAATTCAAGGGATTTTAACGGATATTTTTTTGGTAATACAATTTCTGCTTATACTTTAGTCGTAAATTGTTTATTTCCTTTAAAAAGAAATATGGTCTCATTCAGAAGAACCTTCTTTCATGACATCAAAATGGATCAAATAAGTGAATATAATATACCTCAACTCATTTATTCTACATGAAATAAATAGTTAAATAATTACATTGAGTTGTATAACATGTTAAGAAAAATCTGAAAAATTTATTAACAAACATAAAATATTAATTATAGAAGGGGTTTTGTGGAGATTTAGTATTTATCATTGTTGAAAGCGTGAGTCAATTGAAGCTAGACCACCATGGAAAACCTGGAAACACTGGACGGCCGTTTCGTCCTATTATGGGACTCCTCAGCAGTGTGCATCCACGAACCTGCTCTCGCGAGCGAGATTCGAGCCCAGGACCTACTAGTCTCGAGCCGAAGCCCTTAACCGATGGACCACTGAGCTGGCATCCAACGATGTTAATGTCTAACTTCAACTGATCCACGAAGTTGAAATCATCATTCAATTGGAGCTAGAACAACATAGAAAACCCGGAAGCACTGGACGGCCGTTTCATCCTATTGTAGGACTCCTCAGAGAGACTGATAGGTTCTGGGTTCGAATATCGCAAGGTTGGATCGTGGATGCACACTGTTGAGGAGTCCCGCAATAGGAAGAAACGGTCTTCCAGTGCTTCCAAATTTTCTATGGTGGTCTAACTTCAATTGCTAAAATCTCCACAAAACACCCTTCTAATAAAACATAAAATAGTACGAAAAATGAATTTCAAATGTTTGTCAGATATTGTTAAGTAACTGAAGAATGATGTGATCCTAGTAGTTTCATAAGCTTCAGTCATTTGATAACTCATGACTTCCATCCTACAGATTATATCTAATAGTCAAGTGGACAATAATTATAAACATTTATTTAGTTACTATGCATCTATATTTTTCTTTAAAATTATGATTTAACTATTCACTATTTAGATCATTTCACTAAATTCGACTGTCCCTTGGAAAAACCGAATTTGAATGACAATAACAATATAGTAAAAATTGATCAAATTCAATCAACAGTAAATACTTCTCAAAGTGCTCATAATGTAAGCTTGTACTTTATACTAAATACATCATCTTTTCATGTTGTCACATTCATTATTACCTCAGTATTGTTATCAATTTTATGATCAAAATTTATCATTTGTTACAGTTTAATAATAGTAGTATAAATCAATTGTTCACTGGTCATATTATGGACGAAAATTTTCAGAAGTGTTATCACAGACAACAAACTTAGGCGATTATATCAGAAACTCTTTGCACGACGTTTAAAAACTAAATTGAAGGATTTTCTTATAACCTTGTGACCAGTTTACTGTTGTATTCTGCAGCCGAATTCCGTCATCATGCCATTTCCTAGCGATTTACTAACTTAGTACATAGGAAAAAATGAATAAACCAGAATGAACTTTTTGCCAAAAGCCTAATTGTTATATTTACAACTCATTTGTATAAACATACTACTGGACCAACTCAAATATAAAGATTTGAGTGATGATTCTACCTTGATGAAGAAATCGCCTAAAATGGTAAGGTGTAACCTATTGCTTATGTACCACGTAACCCTGGATTTAAATTTGATCTATTCGGAACTCCCCAGCATAACACTAATTTTGCAGTCGGAATAAATTAATTGTAATATATCATTCTATTGTACTGAGCTTTAAGAGTTGGAACCCTTGGTGAGTTATGTATTCTTTTAAAGTCATAGATATGAGTGACTGTTCATTTTCAATAAGCATAAATATAGGAAAAAATCAGCAAATATAAGTAATTCTCTACCTATTACTAAGGTAATGTTTTGATTATATTCCCAGTAGTAAAAAGTAATACAACTCAATTTGGAATAAGTCAGTTAAATCCACATAAATTGACTTTAGTATTATCATCTAGACCATAAAATTGTACCCATAATTTATTAGTAACAAATATTATCTAACAAGCTATCATACACTATGGGACTGATCATTATGGAAACCGATAACGCCAGATATATTTGCCATGTACCACGTTGTTTGAATGACTGTCTGCCGTTAAATTTTAAATATGATCAAATCTAACAATCTTTCGACGGATATATTGATACTGCTTATGTTTCGTAGTGGCTAAAGTAAAAGAATTCTCTAGATGGACAATATATGGGATCTCATTTAATTTAAGTCTAACCAACTTACAACAAGAATAAATTTCAATGACACTTATACTGGACCATGCTGTATAAATTATGCATAATGGCAGCAAATACTGTGTCCTTCGTGATATGTACGGTAGTATGAGTGTATACAAAATAGAAACGTGTATAACCTGTAGTCCTATAATCAGTCAACATTAGTATTGTTTAAGTTGGTATTGTGGCTAACAGCGAGTTCCAAGACAGGAGTTCTGTACTTTTTGGGACTCGCCAGCTGTATGTTCCTTCATCAGCACTTTAATCATCACACTGAAACTCAAACCCAACACCTGTCACCGCAAAAGCCAACGATTTTTTCACCAAACCACCGGGTTCAAACAAGTGATAGCTTTTCGTAGAGGGTACAATACTAATTCGTGAGGGCTTTTTATGCACCTCTGTTAATATATATGACTGCATTTAACCAGTGTTTACCAGAATATGTGCACCCTCAGCGGATACATGAACAATAAAGCTGCTAACAAAAAAGATAATATCGAGGCGTCTGCTCAAGATTCACTTGTCAATAAAGTATAATCAAGATTCAGTACTAAATATCAACAACTGAATAGCGCTTACAAATATTGCTTTAGTTTTTTCTAACTGGTGGATCCATAAAAACAGACGATTGCATATCTATCTTTGGAAATATACCGCCAACAAATTTTCGCCTTCAAAGAAATGAAAACAATATTTAACTATTTAAAAGACCAAATGAAGCCTTAAGGAAACTGAGTGTTTACATTTATGGTACATCACACAGACTCCTATCTCAAAGAAATTAAGTGCTAGAGTCTAAATGTTTTGTTCATCCAGCTTAAACTGAAAATCACAAATATGGTGTGGTGATAGTAATATATCAAATACTGTGTCATCTCTAAGTAAGAGGTAAACATAAAATCTTTATTCAACAAAGATCCTATATGTTTATCCAGCGAATTTAAGTAATAGGAGTTATATCGGTTTTTGAAAAATAAATATCCTTGTTTAAACTTAAAAGGTAATAGCATGATTTTTTGTGTATCGCAAATACAAAATCCTATAAATGCGCCACCAGACACGAGAAATATCATACTTAATACCTTCTAATATAACCCACTGGTCAAATGAAATAATGATACATGCCATTAATTAACCTAAAGTCTAAAGACAAACAAACAACTAATTACATATCTATAAAATCCATTAGAAGATTATGAACCATCGATTAAGTTGCACAAGAAAACTCTGAATCAAATAGTGGAATATATCTGTAAGACAGAATTCAAATCCTCAATTATTAAGGCGTCGATGACATGTCAAAATTACAGTCAATGAAAAAGTACCTGTTCCAATTGGAGGACACCACAGAGCTGTGTCCGATAGATACTAAGTATCAAACAAAAAAAATAAATTGATCAATATGATTTCAAAATAAACAGGCTATCAGAAAGAACAATCGCTTGATAAACAGCACAGGTAATAACAGTGAAAAGGAAATATTAATGCACATAAGAAGTGCAAAAGAGATTTCAAAACACTTTGAAAGTAGGAAAAACCCACCAATTAGCAGCTTTCCTTGATTCTGAATAATTTTACTAAGAAAAATTCTGGTCTATAAAAATTTTTAGATAAAAAAGCCATTTGAATATGTGACATTGATCATGCAACATTGAACTACATTGTGAAATGTTTCTTTGGTTGATATATTCTTTTTAAGTCTGCTTATTTGAAAATGCAGTCTAACATACGGGATTATTGAATGCTCTTTATGTACATAGAAATACTTGTTGAAATGATTATTGTAGGAGAAGCTTCACGTTTTTCTCGTGCATTTTGGTACTTAATATCTATTCAATGAAGTTATCGATAGTCTTCAAATTTTATTAAGCTATATAATGATCAACTTTGTTTTTTCCAGAATGATGATGCTCTGGTCAAAAAAGAAGAATCCCCTCTAATCACCATACTAAACGATTCATATGACGGGTATGAGATATATGTCTATTAATTGGCTTGAATTGTCTATCACTTAATTATCAATGGTGTGACCACTTAAATAGGAACCTTAACCAATATTCATTTAGTATTCACGGTTTTATTATTTGGATATTACTACTGGCAAACAATCCGTAGCCACGGTTGTATCCATAAGAAAATATGTCACATAAAAATGTTATAAAAACATTGAAAAGTGCCTATACACAAAAATCCACTAACAATATTCAACTATCTGAGAATTTGTATACTGAATACTTGAAAGCTTTTAACTGTAAATTTGGAAAGGTGGACAATGATTTCGTCAGAATTATACAGCGATAAAAGCTTAGACTATATATCCCAGTCCCGTCTTTTTTTCAACTATGTGAATCAGTACCTATTAAGGTTTCATTTTTTCTTTATGGATCTAAATTTAATATTCAGAGTTTTCATTAGCTTATTTACCGTATGTCTCATTGTAATAAAGTAGATAGAATTCCTATTAGGGTTAGTATTTAAAGATTATTGACATTCATAACCAAGAAATAACTAAATTCATGATAACAATGTGATTTAAACTCTTTTTGTTCATTACAGTAGTAGGACATGGATAAGAAGCAATTAAGAGTAAGATTATCAATTAACTAAACGTAGCAATCCCTTACTTTAACATCAAATTGAAAACTTATAAATTCACTTGTCATTTATTTGAATAGGATATTCTATAGTATTTGGTACATTCCTATCATGTATTCACTCAGTTTTGATGTGTTCAGTACAAAATTCTTTTTAATTTAGGAATTAGTAATCGCTCCGACAAAAAACTCTATATAAGGAATGATATTTTCCCATTAAATGTATTTCTTCAACGCCATAGGCTTGATTTGGTTTTTTTAACCATTAGAGTCATGGTCAAGGTAATCGGGTGTATAATTTTGACGATTAATTGCCGATATTGTCGACGTTACCTAGCCTTATAATAACAGCGATCTACATAGGCTTCTTGTGGACTATCCTCTCCAATAATACACGCTTTCCTAATCCTAAAACATGATACTTAAATTCTGAATTACTTAATCAGATATTCATCGTGTTGTTCTCGGTTGATTGAATCTGGTAAGCAGAAAAAAATCAACTATACCAAGGGTATCCAGCAGTGTGAAAACTCTATGAGACAAGTGATTCTTGTTATTAACTGACAAGATATATATTTACTGAGTCTATATTGCATACAAAAATCGTTATCATTAAATCTTAATATAAACTGAAACTCATCAAAAAAGTTTATCTGAAATTTCCGAGACAACTTATCCTCCCAGTGAAACAATGAAGAATTCCTTGCCATCATTTAACAACTCATGTAATATCCGGTATCAGAACTTTATCAGTTGATTTCTTTTTAACTGTCTAACTTTTTTAATGTACTGAGATGGAATGAAATTTCATAAATATATATATTAATAGTCTTCTATTTTATCTATCGGGTTTTATAAACTTATTCTAACTGTCCATTTTTACATTTATAGCATCAGTGAATTAAAACGATTTGAGCCAGTAAGTAGTTTTTATACCTTACATATATTATTGGAAAATGTTTTATCTGAATCCTTTGATTTATTCACGTATGAACAGAATTCGGTTATCATTTCTAATTAGTCAACTTATATTTAAGGTGTAAAAATAAACGTATCTTAACTACAGTTAAATCTATGTATTTTAAAAATAAATCGTACATACAAATAACTATTTGATTTAAGGTTGTTAAATGACAACGACTAAGAGCTCTAGATATAAAGCGAGTCTTAGTTGACACTAGTTACTAAAGTGTATTTAAAATCTACGTGAGAAATTGTTAATTGTGTTCCAGAAATCTTAGCGGTAACATCTTTGAATGTGGCATTGAACAAATCGGGTTTGAATCCCTTTGAGATTAGTAGTCTCCTCAGGAATGAAGATATACTGTGTTAATAAACTCCATCCAAAAAGAAACTAAACAGTAGGCTTCTTTATAATTCATCTATCATTTTACTTACATACACCTGTTACACCCCCGTGCAGCATAGGCCGCGGACCAGCATTCTCCAACCCACTCACTCCATCATGGGGCTTCCTTTCTAGTTTTATCCTTTTTTTCATTCTTCTCATGTCTGTCTCCATTTCTTGGCATAATGTGTTATTTGGTCTTCTTCTCTTCTTCCATGTTAGGATTCGCCTTGTGACGCAGTTGGGTGCTTTCCTCAATGTGCATCCTATCCACTTCCAGCGTTTCTTCCTCCACTGAAATTAAATTTGTTCTCTCCCACAGTAGGTTGTTTCTGATAGTGTTTGGTCAACGGATCAGAAGTATTTTGCGTAGACAACTGTTAATAAACATATGTATCTTCTAGATGACGGCTTTCGTATTTCTCCACGTTTCCGCCTCATACAATAGAACCATCTAGACATTTGCATTAAAAATTCCGACTTTGCTGTTGGCTGACAATTGTTTTGAGTTCCAGACGTTCTTCAGTTGTAAATATGCTGTTGTTTTGCCGATCCGCGTCTTCACATCTACCGTGTTCATCGATGATGATGCTCAGATATGTAAAGGTTTTCACATCCTCCAAAGCTTCTCCGTCAAGTGTGATTCAATCAATGCATGCTGTATTATATCGGAGAATCTTGCTTTTCTCTTTGTGTATATTGAGACCCACTGCTGCTGAGGCTGCTGCTACACTGGTCGTCATCTCCTGCATTTGTTGTTGTGTGTGTGATAGAAGAGCCAAATCACCTGGAAAGTCTAGATCGTTCATCTGCGTCTTAGCTGCCATTGTATCCCATGCTTTGCCTGGTATTGAGAGAAGATTGATGCCTCTGTAGTTATCACACCTGCTCGGATTGCCTTTTTGGTATGTTGATCAGAAGTTCTTTCTAGTGTGTTGGTACTTGTTCCTCATCTCAAACCTTATTGGAGTGATTGCGGAGTATCTTTACAGCTACTGCTACACCTGCTTCCAGTGCCTCTGCTGGAACGTTTTCTGGTCCTGCTGCTTTGCCACTTTTGATTTGTCTGATGGCCATGCTGATATCTTCAATTGTTGGTGGACCAACGTCGACTGGGAGGTCTGTGGGTGCTACTTCGCTGTTGGGTGGGTTCAGTGAAGCTTGTCGATTCAAGAGTTCCTTGAAGCGCTTTACCCACCTGTTTCACTGTTCTTCAATGTTGATGATTACTTTGTCTCCCTTACTTATCACTGGTCGTCCAGGTTTATGATAATTTTGAGCGAGTTTCTTTGTTTTATCACACAATTGTCTCATGTTTCTCTTGCAGCATTTGCCGCCGTCATTACTAAGTCTTTCACATACTTACGTCCGTCCGTTCTGATGCTCCTCTTCACTTGCTTCTTTGCCTCTGTGTATTCGGCTAGTGTGTTGGCTTTTTATGCTCCTGTTTGGCTGATATTGATTGCTGCCTTCTTGTTCCTCCTTTCTTCAATCTTATACAGTGTACCAACAGTGATCCATTCCTCGTGATGGTGCTTCTTGTGGCCCAGGACCTACTGACATGTTGAGACGATTGCCTCCTTGATACCTTTCCAGTTGCTCTCCATGGTAGTTCCCTCTCGATTGAGTGGATCATGAAAGGCCTGGAACCTGTTGCTGATGGCTATCTTGAATTTGACGATTCTTAAGTTTTAATTTCATCTTGGTGACCAGCAAGTGATGATCTGATGTTATATCAGCTCCTCTCCTGGTTTTCACATCCTCCATCGTCCTCCTGAACTTTTTGTTGATGCAGATATGGTCAATTTGATTTTGTGTGTGTGTTATCCGGTGAAATCCAAGTGGCTTTGTGTATGCGTTTATGTAGGAATATGGTGTCGCATATGAACAGTTTGTTGAAGGCACATAGGTTTGCAAGTCTCTCACCATTTTTGTTCTTTTCTCCTAGTCCATGTCATCCCATGATGTCTTCATATCCGGTATCGTCCATTCCATCTTTAGCATTTAGGTCCCCCATCAGAATGGTCAAGTCCTTTGTTGGGTACTTCTCAACGATTGACCACAGTCTATCGTAGAATTTATCTTTAACGTCTTTATTGTAGCAGTTGATAGGCGCACAGCATTGAATGACATTCATTGTAATGTCCAACCCTCCTCCTTAAGCCGGGCTTGGGACTGGCAGTAACTCCAGAGGAGCTCCAGGCGGAGTTTATATTCAGTTGTCATTAAAAGTACTGCACTGCTAATTTGAATCCCTCAAACTATTTTCCGATTCCGCTCAGAAATTATAATTAGACAAATTGTTAGTAATTACTGTTGAGAGAATAGAGAATGTAAATCTTTGGTTTGAAAAGGATAAATAAAGAATGAGCTGGAAGAAACTTTATTTTCCGGCTGTTATAACAAGCTTGTACAAAGAATTATCCCCTAGTATTGGTCAGTTTGGGTTAAATAATTATCATAGCAACCTATAGAAATAAACATTAGTTATCTTGTTTACCGCACCTATCAAAAAATAAATAAATAGCATTTCCATTTAACGAGTTTTTGATTGTTGAGGTTATAGAAATACTCTAATTGGCTAAAAAGACAATCGGAAGCCATTCAATTATTCTATAGATAATTACTAGAACAGGTTATGTATCTAATCGAGTATTTTACAAACACGTTTAAACAAAATATCCCTGAAATCTTTTTTAAGAAATAGTTTTTTCCCGATTCTCATCGAATAAATTGATGCATCTTTGCTTGTTTAAACTAGAAATATTCAAGTTCCATCATTGAAATACTTCCTGAAAACCAATGCATCGATGTTAAGTAAGTTCACTTGTTCCATTGAGATTTATTTCTTTTTCTTTTTATTTCTTTGAACCAACAGTCATCTTCTAGAAGACAATGTCATGATTTGAGATTGTTATTTAATTACAGTAAATACTTGATTAACTACTCAGTTAGGAGCGCACAGTGATTATGAACCAAATT